ACGCTAAGTAGGAAAATTATTTTGGCTTTGTGGTTTTCTATCTTTGTGTGTATTTGTTTCTGTGGAAAAATTAAAATCGATGAAGAAATACAACAAATAATTGAAAAATTACCTATATATTCCCACCCCATATTTGCTTCTAGTTTTTTTTTTTAAGAAACAAAACATAAAGCTAATGTCCCTTTATCTACTACCCAAGTCCCACAGACAACTAATGAATTTGATGCACATCCTCCCTGTTATTTTAAAGATTTTATTTATTTATTTATTTATTTATTTGAGAGAGAGAGAGAACACAATGGGGGGTGGTGAGGGGCAGAGGGAGAGCAAGAGGGACAAGCTGACTTCCTGCTGAGTACGGAGGCCAACACATGGGACTCAATCCCCAGACCCCAAGATCGTGACCTGAGCCAAAGTCAGACACTAAGCCACCCAGGCGCCCCCTCCCTGTTATTTTAAAATAGTTCAGTGTACCTATAGGTACATTCAGTATTTGATACTGTTTGGGATTTTTCTTAATTTAAGTAAATGGTATCATAGGATTCATACTGTTCTGCATCTTGCTTTTTATCACCAAACATATTTTTTTTTTAAGATTTTATTTATTTATTTGAGACAGAGAGAATGAGAGACAGAGAGCATGAGAGGGAGGAGGGTCAGAGGGAGAAGCAGACTCCCTGCTGAGCAGGGAGCCCGATGCGGGACTCGATCCCGGGACTCCAAGATCGTGACCTGAGCCGAAGGCAGTCGCTTAACCAACTGAGCCACCCAGGCGCCCACCAAACATATTTTTGAAATCTATCCATGTTGATATGTATATAAGAGCTAGTTCATTCCTTTGAACTGCTGCATAGTATTCCACCATATGAACCTTTTATACCACATTTTATATGTCCTTTTCTCTAGGGATGGTCATTTAGGTTACTCCCCCTGCCTTTTTTTTTTTAATTGCAAACGATCATGCCTTGATAAAACAACAACAACAACAAAAACTCTGTATGTGTCTCTTTGAACATCTGTGCCCCAGACTCTCTAAGGAATTTCCCCAGAAGTTGAATGTGCTTTACTGCTAAGAAGAGAACAGGAGTGGCCACACCTGGGATCCACATCCCCCTATGGTGCATCTTCCTGCATGACCCTGGAAAAGTCATTTCATCTCTCTGAATCTGTTTTCTGTGTGATAATCCCTAACTCAGTGGGTTGTTGTGAGAGAATTAAGTGAGACTATCTTGAAAAAGCTGCTAGAATAGTGTAAATGGTAGGGGCCGCGTAGCTCTCATCGTTCTTGTTACAGATTTTTCTAGCAACCAAAGAAAAATCAAAAGGCAATGCCCAACCCTTTGCACAAGGGACCCTTGTGCCCAGCAAAACAATGCCTCAGGGGCTGGCCCAACCCACCTTACCATATGCTGTCAACTCTATCCCTGGGCCTGGCCTGGGGTCAGCTTGCTCGGGAATTGAGCAAGCGTACCTCTCAGCATCTCAGTTTCCTTGCCTGTATAATAGCGTAACACCTGCCTCAAAGGGCTGGTGTGAGGCTTAAAGGCTAGCTAATAAATGGAGGGCAGAGTTATACCGTGCCCTCTCTTGTTCATCCACGACCCTCTCTCCTTCAAAGCTGCAAGATGACGCAAGCTCTCATCTGGACAGGCAGGACTGGCAGGACTTCAGAGCTGGACTGTCCCTGGTTTGACTTTTGTTTCACAGCTCTTGCATTTTACCTTGCGGATGCTTGTGAGTCAACACGCGGAAGTTTTGCGGGGTCCCGTATTTGTCTTTCTCTCGGGAAATTGGTGTCCAGGAAAGGCTGGGTGGTTGAAATTTGCTAAAATATCTCCATCTAGTGGGCTCGCTGAAATACTGCAGAGTTCGGCGCTGTCTGGGAAAAACAATGGGGCGACAGCTGGGGCCGCCCTGCCCTGCTCAGAAACGCCGGTGGCTCCCCATTGTCTGCGGGGTAAAGTCCAAATGCCAAGCCTGGAATTCGAGCGCCGGCACAATCGGGCCCCGCCCTGCCTATCGGACCTTATCGTTGGCGGCGACCTCCTGCCCAGCCAGGCCCAGCTCCTCCCCGCCAGAACCTCAAACCCACACCTGCCTGGTACACGGGCCTGCCCTGTGCCCCAGCCCACTGTCTCCCTCCTCCTCGCCACTCTCCCGAAGCTAAACTTCCTTCCAGGCTCAGCTCAAAGGCCACCTCTTCCCGGAAGACCCTTCAACCCATCCTGACCTGACACCAACACTTGCTGTTAGTTATTTTTGTATTTCCATATTTAAAGCTGTGTTTTGTCAATGCACTGCCCTCCCATGTCCAACATGATTGATTTAAATGATCGCCAGCCCTGCAGTCCTGTGGATCTGGATCCTTATCTGGCCTCCACTACTTCCCAGCTCTGAGAAGTTGGAGAAGAGAGGGAACTCAAAGGTGAAATAGAGGTGGGAGCACTTACCTCACAGGGCTGTGGTGAGAATTAAATAAAAGTGGATGCAAAATGGCCAGCACATATAAACACCCAATAAATCATCGGTAGATTGGTCCAATTACATATAGGACACGTAATTGAACTTGAATTTCAGATAAGTGATTTTATATCCCAAATATCCCAAATATTACATGGGGGTTCTGTGTAACATTTCACAGATAAATGATGTTAAGGATTATTGTTCATTTTGTTAGATGTGCTAATGATATTGGGGAGATAGATATACATAGATATAGATATAGATATAGATATATCTATATATACGCACACACACACAAATTGGCAGATTCTGCATTTGCAAATGCACCTACTAGCTAACATTTATTTGTCATGCCAAAATCAATATTCACAGCACTTATTCATTCACAGACATGCACATGCATAGAGTGGAGAAAAATTTGAGTCTCCCAGTACGCAAGTTCCCAGCTAAAGTCAACAGTCAACATACTCTTCCTATCCCAGCTCTCATACTATATAAACAAGTTTGCTTTTGGCGATTTCCTTAGTACCACATTTTCCTCATTTTTGTGCTTTCTGTTGATTTCACTGCTTAAAATGGACACCAAGCAGAGTGAAGTGCTGTCTAGTGTTCCTAAGCCAAGAAGGCTGTGATGTGACTTACAGAGAAAATACCTGTGTTAGATAAGCTTCGTTCAGGCATGAGTTACAGTGCTGTTGGCCGTCAGTTCAATGTTAATGAATTAACAGTAGATATTAAATACAGTGTCTTTAAACAGAAAGTAAGGTTATGTACTGATCAGTTGATAAAAATATTGTGGCCCGAGTCTGGCAGGAACCTAACCCTGTATTTCCCCATGAGCAATGGTTCAGTATTCACTGATTTGGTGTTCATGATGACTCTATAGAACTACTGGGAATAATGAGAATCAACTACATATCATATCATATACATGTATATATAAACATCAACTGTGCATATGCATATGAAAATATATAATATGCAATAAAATTTAAATATATATCAGAGATACATACTGAAATATTATGAGTGAAACTAAACAACGTCTAGAATTGTTTTAAAATATTCCAGAAGAGAGATAAAGGTATATATATGGAGAGTATAAAAGAAACAAGATAGCAAAGGTTGAAGATTGTGGAAGTGATGATTTATTAGAATATTCTCTCTACTTTTGTGTTTGAACATGACCATAACAAAAGGTTTAAAAAAACAGATTGAGGAGAAAATCTTGGGGGAAGAATCTCTTACCCAGTAGCTTTCACTCTGGACACTGTGGAGACAGGGCTCCCAATGATGCCGCCTGAGATCTCATTATGGATGAATCCCAAGCCCTTGAACGCAGAGTACCAGGCTGAGAGGTTCAGGAGACCTGGCTGTAGTCTCGGCCCCACCTCAGACTTGCTCTGCTACCTCTGGCAACTCACAGTGCCTCTGAACCTTTTTTCTTACCTGTTAAATAAGGAAATTGAATTGGACAACTTCTGGGTTCCCCTTCATTGTTAAAACCCTCTCATTCTAAAACCAGTATTTCCTAAATTGCTATGTTCTGGTATAATATTACAGCCTCCGGCGGGCTCTCTCTCTTCCCTGCCCCCATTCGTCCTGATGCCACTATTCTGTGAACCTTGCTGAAGTTCTCTTTTTTTTGCAACACTCTAACCAGGAAGCTATGCTAATTTTGATTTCTCTAAATCAAAGTCGAAACTCAAAGCCGAGCAGTTAAGGCCTGTGCAGGCAGACCATCCACTGAAGCCCTCTGGCTAAGAAGGACCAGGAAACAGGAACAACACAGGGTGCACCAGACGATTGCAGAAACAGAGGAAAGTCACCCAAGCCAGTCGAGGGAGGCAAGAGGAAGTCTCCTGGAGGAAGATGTAGGAGCTGAGGCCCCAGGGAGGAGGGGGGGCAGGAATTACAGCTGCAAACAGAAGGGAGAAGGATGTTCCAGGCCAAGGCAAGTGTGTGTGAAGCCCCGGAGACAAGAGAAGTTTGGAAAAGGGTCGGATTTCGAAGCCCATCACACCAGCCCCATGAGTCCCTCGGGCATTATTTGCCACCCCTTCCTGTCACCACCTTCCCCACCGGCCCAGCATGTGTGGTATGTGTGCTGGGGACCCTGGGGTTCATATCTGGAAAAGCATATTTGGGACTCCCTACTAGACCTCCTTTAAAATAACCAGGTCAGGATTAACTTTTACACTTCCCCCACACCTTTTTGTTTTGCTCATCCGGCATAATTCTAACGACCCACTTTTCAATAGAGGAAACTGAGGCTCAAAATTCACTCAAGACCACCCAGCCGGGGAGGGGGACGGCGGGGATTCAAACGCAGTTCTGACTCCTGGCTATTTTGCCCTTCATAATGCACAGGGCAGCCAGGACACACGGGGGCTTTTAGTCAGGTGTCTGCGAGAGGGCGCTTCCTTACAGGTTCCGGGCATGCTGCAGCTTATACATCTACACTGAGAAAGCTGAGGTCAGCGTCAGGACTAAGCTTACAGACCCATTTTTCTCAGGACGAGGTCATACAATAAAATCTGGTCGCCTCAACTCTCCCACCCCCGCCCGGGACAGACTCCAAGTCTTCATGCCCGGGTTAGAGTCTCGTTTCCACTACCTCCTAGCTATGTGACATCCGACAAGTAACTTAGGATCTCATATGTAAAATGAATCTTGTGAGGATTAAACGAAAGTGGCATCTGTGCAGGAGGCTGTCCGTACAACTACGGGGAGGGCAGGAAGGAGAACTCGCTTACACCCGGTTCAGGGCCAGCAGTAGACACAGAAAACGCAACTTCAGGCCCTGCGCAGGCGCTCTCCGCAAAGACCCGGCGGGCGCTCCCGAGAACTCTGCGGCTGCGCATTCGCCCGGCTTTGCGGCCGCACTGCTTGACGGCGGCAGTGACCGCCCTCCGGCCGGCGTTGCCGGGGTAACGACGAGCGCGTGAGGCTGAGGAAGGTAAGGCGCCGGGGCGGGCGGTGCGAGGCGTCCCGTGGCGCTGAGCGTGGTGGCCGCGTGTGGCGGTGCGAGAGGAGACATCGCCTTCTCCGAAAGCTCTCAGGCGCGGGAGCAGAAAGGGCGTAGAGACTTTACCCCGGTTGCACAGCCACCCCAGAGTAGGCCGGGCAGGGGGAGCCAGGCTTCCTGGTTCCGCCGGAATTTGCTCCTCTCCCTTTCTCCGAGCATCTGTGGCCCTTTGCACTTCTCTTCGTTCTTTCCGAACGGGAGGCCACGTTCTGTGCTGGGGGCTGGGGACGTCGAGGTGTACCGGATACCGTCTCTGCGCGAGGGGAGCCTCAGCCGCTAGTGCGGTTGTTTCGGTGCGGGGGGCACCCAAGGAAATCCACAGAGGGATGAGTTAAAAGACAGGGAGTTATGAATTTGGTGGGCCCTTAACACCTTCTGGCTTGTGTGCAACCATTTATTGCAGTTGCAGCCCCCGTCTGGCTAGCATTTTGCACATGACAGGCCCAGTACGAGGCTCCTTCGCCTTCGCACAGTTACCCACTTAATCCTCACAAACAGCCTTCAAAGGGTTATCGTTTGTTTATGTGGCCTGTGTCAGGTTCTAACTTGAAAGCTCCCCTGGGGCTGGATTGTTTGCCTTGTCCCTTTCATCCTTGCCTCCCTAAGCCCAGGAGGTACACCGCTGGAGCTTCAAACATTTTTTAATTGGGAGAAGGCGAGCTTTACTGGGTGGGAGGTTTTAACCAGATTTTGGCAAGGTGTTTCCAGGGGGTTGGAAAATTAAATGGAGTTACCTTCCTCATTTTTGTTTTGCTCTGTTTTGTTTGGAATAAACATTTACTGGATACCTAAACAGTGTTAGCTTGTCTGCTCAAGGGAAGAATAAGGAACAAGCGCTGCTTTTGATAGTAAAGTAAATGTACTTAATGCTCCTTGTGTCTGGAGTCAAGTATGCCCTGGTTTGGGAAGGGAAAAGCAACAATCCCTTACAGGTGCGTAGCACTCAGCCCCTCTGAGTCCCTTTCCTGCTCTGAACAATGGGAACAGTAACAGTACTTACTTAGGGAGCTGTTGGGATTAAGTGAGTTTGAATAGTCTATCCTGTCACCAGTGGTTGGCAACTTTGGTTACATGTTGAAATCACCTGGGTCCCACCCCAGAATTTCTGATGTAATTGCAGGTAAGTTCTGAGAATTAGGAGTTTTAAGATTTCCCCAGGTGATTGTAAGGGCACCCAAGCTTGAGAGCCACTGTTGCATACCACCCCAAGTTAATTCATCTCTTTTCAGTTCTCATTCCCTGCTTAAGCGTCTGCACTGACTCCAAGTCTAAACCAGCCTTCATATTCCAAACCCCTTGACAATTGGCCCAGTCATTCCTATACATATGTGTGTGCTTCAGACATCGGTCCTCTTTAAGGCCGGTCTTCTTACAGTGCTGTGTCTTCATGCAGTGGGGCTTTGGGCAAATGACTGGCCCTCTCTAGGCCTCAGTTTCCTTGTCTTTGGAAGAGGATAGTAGTACCCGTGTGTGTAGCATATGGTACAGTCCATGCCTGGAGTGTTGTACCAAACCGATGATGATTACCTCTTCGAATTTTATTCACATTCCACATCTTATGTTATGCTGTTCTCCTATCATGGCACTAAAGAAACATATCTTAAATGCCTGTTAACAGATGTGGAGAACAGTGAATTCAGTCCTGTCTCCCCTGCTTTGCCTTTCAAGTTCAGCACAAGACAACTCCTTCAAAAAACCATGAAACTAGAGATCATTTGGTTTGTCCTATTGAATTTTTTAAATAACAGCTTTATTGAGAGACCACTCACATACCGTAAAACTCACCCTTGTAGGGCGCCTGGGTGGCTCAGTCGTTATGCGTCTGCCTCTGGCTTGGGTCATGATCCCAGGGTCCTGGGATCGAGGCCCACATCGGGCTCCCTGCTCAGCGGGAAGCCTGCTTCTCCTCCTCCCACTCCCCCTGCTTGTGTTCCCTCTCTCGCTGTCTCTCTCTCTCTGTCAAATAAATAAATAAAATCTTAAAAAAAAAAAAAAAACCTCACCCTTGTAAAACGTACAATTCGGTGATTTTAGTATATTCACAGTTGGGCAGCCATCACCACCACTGCAATCCAGTTTTAAAACATTTTCATCACCCTCAAAATTAATCTGTACCTATTAGCAGTCGCTCTCCATTTCTCCCTTCCCTCAGCACCTGGCGATCACTAATCCACTTTGTGTCTGTATGCATCTGCTGTTGTGGACATTTCATATTAATGGTCTTATAAAATATGTGGTCTTTTGTGACTGCTTTCACTTAGGGTAATGCTTTCAAGCTTCATACACAATGTAGCATGTATCAGCACTTCGTTCCTTTATTGCTGGTAATCCATTATTTATGGATACACCACATTTTGTTAATCCATTCATCTGTTGATGGACATTTGGGTGGTTACCACTTTTTTTTTGGCTATCATGAATCACTGTAAACATTCAGGTATAGATTTTTGCATGAACATGTTTTTAGTTTTTTTATATCTGTACCAAGAAATGGAATTGCTGGGTCATATGGGTATTCTGTGTTTAACAATTGAGTGACTTCCAAACTCTTTTCCAGTCCTGTTCAATTTGAAGATGAAGAAACAGGGCTCAGAGAGCTTATGTGGGTTGTGCATGGTCACATAATAATAACAGCGGGTTTGCATATGTAGGAGGTCCATGAGCCAGATTCTTGAAGCCTTTTCTGCCACATGGGCAGAGGTAACACTAGATCACAGACTTGGAGGTTTTGTGGAAAACAGGGAATGTTTTGTGGCAGGAACCTTTGTCACACACACTTGCGCTGGAATACAGAGTGCTTTCAAGTGTCCTAGCTCATTCTTGCTTTTTTTTAAAAGCGTGTAGCAGTAATCTGAGGGAAAATTCCAAACCAGGCAAATTAAAATATAACTTCAGTGTCACTTGTTCGAGAGAATTTAATTGGAAGTTCTTGAAGTTAGCCATTTAACATTTTCTCTTTTTTAAAAAATTCCAAATGTTAGCATATACAAGTTAAATACTAACCAGAGGTTAAGTTATAAAAGTGAAAAATCTCATTAAAGTCCAACTTTTTCCAGGAAATGCCTAGAAAGTTTCTCACTAGATTCCAACATCCTGCCTCCAAAAAGCCAACACAGCATTGTTTAAATTTTAGAATAAATTGCTGTTTCTTCTTCTTTTTTATTGCTGTTTCTTCTGTTGAATACCAAATGTGATCATTGGCTTGGATTAAGGGATAGGTCGTCATTGGCTTGGATTAAGGGATAGGTCGGCAAGTGAAAATTGAGTTAAAATGCTCTTGGAAGAAAATCTAATTGTCCGTTAACATGCGACATACATGGTTTTGTTGTGAATGCTTTACAGCAATGTGTGTGTGTGTGTGTGTAGAATCATGCTCAGTATGTAATTCCATTGAGGGATCTTATTTAAAAATTAAATTATTCTAGTGTTTTGCTGCTTAGCATACTTGGTTAATTCTATGAAGGTTCCAACTTGCTGATTCTTATTTTTCATAGTTATCTTTGTAATTGAGTTACCAATTTCTGTAACTCTCCCTTGGTCTGTGTTTTCCTTTGTCCTCATCTAATTCCTCAATTTCTTTGAGAGGGCGGATAAAGGTATCATCACACACTGGACAAGGTATTCAGTTTCTTTTTAATGGTCACGAACCCATAAAACCACTTACCTTCCACAGTTTCGGCCACCGTCACTGTCTGTTTCAGGCTTGGTTGCATCCATTGCCCAATGGATGCTCGTATTAAGTGCAGGAGGCATTATAATAAGCAGTCTTACTTTTTTCTCTGGATCCATGTAGATGAAACATGTGATAGTGCTCCACTGTATTTTCAAGCACCAGATCTGCTCCCCGCTTAAATCAAGCCAGGTCCAGGACGAAGGGAGCAGCAGGTTCAAGTCTCCCCTCTCATTCCAGGGCGTCTGTTGGGAGAGTGGAGTGCCTGGCCCAGACTCTTGCACTGTTTACATTTTCCCCCCTTGTATGTGGTTGAGTTAGTCCTAAGTTAGATATGTGTGCGTGGCTCTGTGTCTTTATCACACAGTGCACTCAACTTCATTTCCTTCCTTTAGCCATTATGGAATGCAGCCTGTTGTGTTACCTTCAATTTGCTTTCGTGTGTGTTATGTGCTTGTTTTGTCTCCTCAGATTGAGTATAAGGCCTGGAAGGGAGAGGTACTGACTTTGGCTTCCTTTACTTCCTCAGAATGCTGAGTGCACACTGGCTCAGGACTGAGACAAGGACAGTTTTGTCTAAGTAATTCCATAATTATCTGGAACGCTTTAGCTCCTAACCTTGAGAAATAGTGGGCCTTCAGACAAAGGGGGACAGATGCTGCCTGTGCTTGCAGCAGAACCCAGCGAGAAGAGTGTAACAGGCTTTGGAATTCAGCAGACCTGGGATCATCCGAATGGGCCTTTCACAGAATCTCTCTGACCTGAACCTGTTTTCCTCATCTGTAAACCAGAGTTGGTAGTGCTCACCCCATAATAATAATTAAAGCAAATACACACATGATGCTCATTATGTACCTGGTACTCTTCTAGGTCCTTTATGGGGTCTTAACTCTAAGATAGAGTCTGTTTTTAATCCTTACTTTGCAAATGAGGAAACCAAAGCACTGAGAGATTAAGCAACTTTTGCCCCAAATCACACAGCTAGGACATAGTAAAGCCAATTCAGTCCTGGCCCTCTGGCTTTAGAGTTCCTGCTCTTTGCCACTCACATTTGGTGGAACATAACAGACCCTGAAATGATAACTGTTTCTGTCATTGTTGTTATTACCTATTAATTTACCTTAAAAATTAGAAGATGATTGACCTAATGTTTAGAATGTATTTTAAGGTCCTTTTTTGGAAAAAAAAAAAAATACTAGATTTAATTCTTTGAGAAACAGTGTCTCTTTTGGCTTTATCTTTATATCACCAGCACCTCTGATTATCACAAGGCCCTGGTAGGTACTCAGTAAATGTCTGTTGTCTGAGTGAAAGAATAGGAATAATCCTAATAAACAGGAATCTTATTGTGCTTGCTATCAGTAGACTTTTGCATGTTATGACTTTGGACATGCCGCTAGGCCTCAGTCTTGTCCACTATAATTAGAAATATTGCCACAGACTTCTTGGGCATGGTTTGGGGAATTGAGATATTTTAGGTGATTGGGATTTGTAGTGCTTGTACAAAATGTTCTCATTAGTTTTTCTTTTAGTCCACTCCTTTTAAATATTTTATTTTTCCCACAGATCGCAAAATTTTCTGAGCCCAGAGATAAATGCACCCCCATTTTTTATCAACATAGTTATGGATTGGCTATCTGTTTCTTTCTCCTTATTATACTCTTTTAAAAAACAGCTATCCTTGAGAAATGGCAGAAGCAGTTTTCCGTGCCCCAAAGCGGAAAAGAAGAGTGTATGAGAGTAATGAATCTCCACTGCCCATCCCTTTTGGTCAGGACTATGGGCCTAAGCAAGACTTCAAAGTGTTCACAGCAGAGATGATAAACAACAATGTAATTGTGAGGAATGCAGAAGATATGGAGCAGCTCTATGGGAAAGTAAGTGCTGGTGGCTTTGGCATGGTTACTTCTGACAGAACTGAGCCAGCTATCCTTTTTGCTTCCCCCCATCCACTCCAAAAAGCAAACCATCATTGACCCATATTCTTTCCTTGCCATTCAGTCCAGTGTAGGAGAGGAACTGCCCAATTTGAATCAGGTGCCCTGATGAGGAAGACTCCCCCACCATTGAACCCACGTTGCAACAATAAAGTAGGGTCAGTGCATTGGCCTTTCTTGTCTTTCAGTTATAAAAGCCATGCATGTTCATAAAAAATGTCAAGCAATTTACAGAAATGTAATGCGTAAAAAGTAAAAATTCCCCACTCCCATTCCATCTCCAGAGGTAAACACAGAGTGGCATATTGTTCTGGCTCATGGACAGATGAGGCTTAGGCATGTCCTTATCTGTGATCTCTTGTTTGGGGACCTCTTCTTAGATGAGGACAGGTTCTAGTTCTTGCTGTTTTCCGCCCATGATAGGTTCAGGTTGAGATTGGTAACTTGCTTGCTTTTTTTTTTCTATCCATAGCCAGTTTATTACTGGAGGCATTTTTTTTTTTTTAAAGTAATCTCTGCTCCCAGCGTGGGGCTCGAACTCACAACCCTGAGATCAAGAGTCACATGCTGTACCAACTGAGCCAGCCAGGTGCCCCAACTTGGGGGCATTTTTTAAATAGCTTTATTGAGGTATAATTTAGTGTCATAAAATTCACCCATTGTAAATGTGCAATTCAATGATTGTAGTAAATACACAGAGTTGTGCAACCACCATAACATTCCAGTTGTGGAGCATTCCCATCACTACAAAAAGTTCCCTTGTGCCATTGCAGTTAATTGCTGCTCCTACTCCCAGCCCATATCACCCACTGATGTACTTCCTCTCTAAATTGGGCCTTTCTAAACATTTTATGTAAAATAGATATGTTGTAGCCAGCTTCCTAAAGTGGGATACAGCAGGTGGCATTGATCCTGGTGAGATGGGGTCTAGGCCAAGGCCCTGCCTCTGCCTGTTCCATTGCCTTGAGCTTACCAAACCCAGACTGAAATCATTAGGTATAAGACACATAAGGTGTACTGAAAACTTACTAGAACTCTTCATACAATCAGATATAATGCTAAGATCTTCATTAGTAATCATTAGGTAATCAGAGGGAAAATGTAAAGCTAAGGAAAATAGAATGAATCTCTTGTTAACTCAAATAGTTGTTTTCCCCCAGCTAAAAAAAATTGGTAACTAAACATGAACTTTGTTTTCTCTTTTCCTGGAAGGGTTATTTTGGAAAAGGTATCCTGTCTAGAAGCCGTCCAAACTTCACAATTTCAGATCCTAAGCTCATTGCTAAGTGGAAAGGTAAATTTGTGCCTCATTCAGTTAACTTTTGGCAAATTATTTTCTTTCATCTTTGATCTTTTTTTTTTTTAATCATTTCATGAGGCCAGCTTTATCCTAACACCAAAACCAAAAACATTCCCAATTCATCTTTGGTCTTAAACTTCGGATTATATAGGAAAATTCTCTGGAGAAGACGTAACATGCACAGTGGCAATTTTACTGCTAAAACTAGCAACTAGAATAATTCTAATCAAGGTGAAAGGGTTTTGATGGTTGGTGAAAATGTGTTTTATCTAATTTCTGGAGTTATCAAAAGTGTTATTCAGGTTTTTCTGTTGTTAAACATTGACTAGCAGGGTACTATGCACTCGGAAGGTACTAGTAATTAAGTACCTTTTCACCTGTATGCAAAATGAGTTTTATATTTTTTATTTCTAGAATTAGAATTTACAGCAATAACCATAACATTAATGAATTTGTTAAAACATTAACTAATGTGTGTAGTTCTTACTTGCTTGACTTGCCTTCTTTAACTTAAAAATCTTTTACTTTGTCTAAAGAAGTCTCATGGTGATTACATAACCAATGCCAGCAGATGAGAACATAATGTAAGAAAAAATACAAATTAAACCTACACTAAGATACCATTTTAGCAATCAGATTGGCAAAAATCCGAAAGTTTGACAATATTCTCCTTGGGGAGGCCCAGAAAAATACCCTTCATGTATTGTTGGGGGGAATGTAAGTGGTACTACTGTTACAGGGGGGAATTTAGCAATGTCTGGTAAAATTATATATACATTTGCTTTTTCCGCCCCCAATCCTCCTCTCCCCCTAACCCCTGGCCACCTTAATATGTTTGCTGTATCTGTGAGGTTGCCCATCCTAGATATTTCATGTAAGTGGAATCATACCTTGTGAAGCCTTTTGTGTCTTCCACTCAGGATGTTTTCAAGGTTCATCCATGTTGTAGCATGTACCAGAACTTCATCCTGGGGCGCCTGGGTGGCTCAGTCGTTGGGCATCTGCCTTCGGCTCGGGTCGCGATCCCAGGGTACTGGGATCGAGCCCCGCATCAGGCTCCCTGCTCAGCAGGAAGCCTGCTTCTCCCTCTCCCACTCCCCCTGCTTGTGTTCCCTCTCTCGCTGTCTCTCTGTCTGTCAAATAAATAAATAAAATCTTTAAAAGGAAAAACAAAAAACTTCATCCTGAATAATAATTCCATTTTGTTTATCCATTCATCCAAAGATGGACATTTGGGTTGTTCCCACTTTGGGGCTGTTATGAATAGTGCTGCTGTGAATGTTCATATACAAGTCTCTGTGTGAACATGTATTTTCATTTCTCCTAGATATATACCTAGGAGTGGACTTGCTGCATCTTATAGATACAGATAGATATAGATATATCTATTCTGTTTTAATTTTTTTAGGAAATGCCAAACTATGTTCCACAACACCTGCCCCCTGTTACATTCCCACCAGCAGTGCACAAAGTTTCCAATTTTTCCACTTGCTGTTTTCTGGTTTTGGATTTGTTTGTTTGTTTGTTTTTTATGATAGCCATTTCTGTGAGTGTGAAGCGGTAAAAGTTTTTAATATTAATGAAGTCCAGTTTATCTGTTTTTTTCTTTCATTACCTATGGTTTGGTGTCATATTTAGGAAACCTTGCCAAATCCAAACTGATGCAGATTTTCCCCTGTGTTTTCTTCTAAGAGTTTTACAGTTTCAGCTCTTAAATTTAGATCTCTGATCCACTTCGAGTTAATTTTCATACGTGATGTAAAGTAGGGGTCAAGCTTCAGTGTTTTGCCCATGGATATCCAGTTGTACCAGTATAAGCATTTACTTTTAACCCAGCAATTCCATTTCTAGGAATTTATCTGAAAGATACACTAGCAAAAATATGAGAAGAAGTCGCACAAGGCTATTCATCGCAACACTGTTTCTTATATTAAAGACTGGAAACAACCCAAATGTCCAGTATGAGGGGACTGGTCAACTACACTGTACTGCATTCACATAATAAAGTACCATGGAGCTGAGCTAAGAATGAGAGATCACTGGGATGTATTCCTAAGCGAAGAAAGCACAGAAGGGGGGTCTGCATAGTGTGCTGTGGTTTATCTGAAGGTGGGGGGATATAAATATATTTTTGAAATTTAAGGAAGGATAAATCAAAGATTCTTTTTAATGCCTATGGGGGAGATACGGAACAGGATGGAGAAAGAGGTGAGACTTTATAGATTTGACTTTGGAACCTTGTAAATGTGTTACATGATTACAAAACAAAGTTAAATTTTAAAAAGTAATTAAAAAAAAAAAAAGCTGGGGCGCCTGGGTGGCTCAGTCGTTAAGCATCTGCCTTCAGCTCAGGTCATGATCCCGGGATCCTGGGATCGAGTCCCACGTTGGGCTCCCTGCTCGGCAAGAAGCCTGCTTCTCCCTCTCCTATTCCCCCTGCTTGTGTTCCTGCTCTTGCTCTTTCTCTCTCTGTCAAATAAATAAATAAAATCTTAAAAAAAAAAAAAAAGCTGAAGCTATATATCAAGTTGGTGGTATAGCCACTGAGGAAAACTATTTTCAGTGACTGTAAAACGTGGTAACTTGAGGTTCAATCCTAGTAGGATAGACTTTGTGTCAGTTATCTCTTGGCACAGTGTTGTTTAACCAGTGGCTTTCAGCAGCATCCAAATTGCTCACAAGTCTACAGGTTTGCTAGGTAGGTGTGCTGATCTTGGCTGGATGTGTTCATCCATCTGGTTAGTTATGGAGATCAGCTAGCTGCTCTAATGGATTTAGTCCAATAACGGATCTAGTTGGACTTACTAGTGTCTGGTTGGCTGTTGGTTGGCTGTCAGCTGGTCTAGGATGGTCTCAACTGAGATGAGGGGCAGGGGGCACCATGTGTGTCATCCCTTGGCAGGCTAGCCCAGGCATGTTCTCATGGTTATGGCAGAGGGTCACGAGCAAACCCCAGTGTGCCAGTGCTTTTCGGGCCTCTGCTCACAGCACGTTTGCTGTTATTCCAACCGGTCTAGAGTCAAGGTGTTTGGCAGGTGGAAGACCTGAAGAATTGGGGCCATCAGTACAATTAACCTACCCTATACTCTAAAGAAAGGAAGAGTGGCGAAATAATCTTCACATTGCTTTCAGCAATTATTTTATAGGTGATAGCTTGGTACAACTGACTGTTGTATGTATATTGTGTGAAAAAGCAAATGATTAATTATGTTGGTATGGTTGAGAGCCAGGATTTTCACCTGAAACATTTTTACCAGGAAGCAAGGAAGCTTATCAAGAACTGCTAGGCTTGTTTCAAAAGTGGCTCCCCAGACCAAAGAGGGAAACATTTGAGCATCAATGAGAATAATACTATAGCGGCCCCTGGGTGGCTCAGTCGGTTAAGCGTCCGACTCTTGATTTCTGTTCAGGTCATGATCTCAGGATCGTGAGATTGAACCCCACATCAGGCTCTGCGCTGAGCATGGAGCCTGCTTAAGATTCTCTCTCTCCCTCTCTCTCTTGCTAAAAAAAACAAACAAAAAGGATCAATCCTACAATTTGTTTTAAAATCCAGTCATTGGTAATAATGTCCCAAAAAATGCTTGAATCTTTTAATTTATGCTGGTACAATATGTACCTTCACCTGTGAAGGATTCACCATTTTGGAAATTAGTAAACATGAATTGGTTCTCAGGGTCACTGAGTAGTGAGGGATTTCTCTCTATGGAAGATTCCTGCTAATAAGCAAGGAATAATGGGATGAGAATAGCACCATTTTGCATCCTCTAATAAAGCACTGATCGTCAGTGGTGTTGATGACATACAAAAAGACAACACATTTTTTGTCTTGTAAGAGAAACACACAGCACCACCCATGAAGTAGGCTGCCCAAAATACTGAGCCTGAATGTGATCAAGCCTCTAGTTCCACCAATTTACAGGAAACAGGGTAAAAGAATGTATTAAGCCAGTGCTGCTCAAAGTGTCACAAGTGTCACTGAAGTGTCACAAGATAAGTCCTTTGCACCAGAATGGAAATAGATCCCATACTATTTAGCTGTTTCTGCGGCTTCCCTCTCCGTGAAAATCTGGCTATGAAAACAAGGTGAGCTGAACTAAGCAATGTGCTGAGTGAGACAGTTGCTTAAAGGTTGGTGCAGGCCCTTCTTGGACCATCCATGAGCTGTTCAAGGACAGCACAGTGCTTGTGACCTCCTTTGATGAGCACCATGTTTACAGCACAATAGGGACGTGATCCTCTGAGGCCAGACTCGGGGGGGGGGGGGGGGAGGTGTATAGGACAGAAAAGCCATTGCTTCAGTAAGTGAATTACAGGGAAGAAAATCATGATGGGGTAACATATATTAGAATCAATTTCAGATGTATCAGTCAGTTGTAATGTATATAGGCCTCATATGGATTTTGAGTCTGACTTTTAAAAATTGAGACAATCCATAGATTTTCATGAGGCTAAGGAATTAATATTAATTTTTAAAGTAATAATGGTATTGCAATTTGGGGGGGGGTTGTTTAATTTTTATAATTTTTTTAAGTAAGCTCTATGCTCAGTGTGGGACTTGAACTCAAACCCCAAGATCAAGAGTCATGTGCTCTACCAACTGAGCCAGCCAGACCCCCTTTTTTTATGCAAGTTTTTTCTTCATTTTTTAAGTCTTCATAGAAATACATAATGAGCTACTTAGAGATGCTGTGATAGAATGTGAAGGATCTTTTTCAAAATAATCTGGGGACGGGGAAATGAACAGAAGAACAAGATTGGCCATGAGTTAATTGTTAAAGCTGACGGATGGCAACATGGGAATTTATTATACTGTTCCCTTTACTTTTGTATGTCTCAAAACTTTTTCATAATGAGTGTTTCAAAAAGAGAGGGGAAAAAAGTGGAAAAAAAAATAGCATAATGACCCTCACCATCCAGCTTCAGCAGTTACCAATATTTGGCCAGAAACATAAAAAGCTTTCAAATAGTATAATGATCTTAACAGTTGAGAATCTTTTCCTGATCTGTGTAGTAACTAAATTTTAGACAGTAATAGAAATTTGAAGGAAAGGAATTTATGCCAAGGAAACAGAAATTAAGCTTGTGGACTGCCCTGAAGAAGTAAGTCTCAAATGTCCATTTTAGGAGGTTCTTCAAGTCCTGGCTTCAGCCTCATCTTCCACCCTCTCTTTGCACTCTCTTCTACTCATCGGCACTGGAGCCACCTTGGGCTGCTTGCCGTTCCATGAACCTGTCACGCATTTACTCTCTCTCAGCCTCACAGGGCTTCCCCTGCCTGTTTTCCCCTGGTCTGCCTGGTGAACTCTTACTCATTCTTCAGAGCCCAGCTCAGTTACTCCTCCTCCTTGGTGTTTTTTACTAAGCCTTTCAGGCAAAGTGAACACTCCTTTTATACTCCTTTACTTGGTCATGTATCAGCTTGGGTTAGAATCAGTCATTTCTGGTCTGTCTCCCCAACCAGACTGTGAGTATCTCAAGAAGAGGGGATTTTATTTTATTACTTCTGTATCTCAAGTGCTTGGCACATGGATGGCTGTCAGTAAAACTCGCTAAATTTTCATTTTTGTTAAATTACCAGAGGAGGGAGGTCATGACACAGAGAAAACTGACAAATTCCTAAGGAGGTAGGAGTCTGTGAACTCCTAGGGTTTTTAAAGCTGATGATCATCTATTCCAGGCCTTTAATGCGCTGGGGAGAAGGCTGAGTTTGGGTAAGGAGAAACGACTTGCCCAAAGGCAGAGTGGAGGAGGATGAGGACTAAAACCCACACCATCAGGTGATCAATAAATAACATTGAAGGTAGAAAGGCTCAACCAGCCAGATGCCCAGAACTAGAACTAGAGCCCAGAACTCCCAGGTCCACACCCAGAAGCAACACTGCCATGAAATTCCACAATCTTTTCTGTAGGTACATGTGGGGCGCTTTGACTGAAGATGCCTTATAGAGCATGGGAAAACGGGGGTCAAGTGCATAACTTTAGGGCCTCGATACTCTCATCTGAAAGTTCAGAGGTTGCAGGGGGGTTTCCTCTTGCCTGCCATTGCTGCCAAGCTGCAGTGTTGAGTTGAGAAGGATTTCAGGGTCACATCTGGGCACAGCAAGAGCACCATGAACAGGCAACATTGCCTTCTAATGGGTTCAGGGGGTGGGTTCCAGGAATGATGGCAGAGAAAGCATGCCATTGCTGGTTGGGCAAGATTAACCTTCTAGATGTGTGATTTTGTGATTCTTGAAATTCTCTTTGTTTTTCTGGATTTTCAGTGTGTTTTTTCCCTTAAGGAAAATTTGTCTGAACAGAACTTTTTTGTTGTTACAGATATGAAGACACAAATGCCTATAATCACGTCAAAGAAGTAAGTCATGGTGACCTTGGTCAGAGTTACGGTTTAAATCAGATCTGTTTGTAGATAACCTTTTCCAATGTGGTAGGTCATGCCCTTTTTTTTTTTTTTTGGTAGTAGGTGTATCCTTGAAAATTATGTCTGAACTTAATGTGGATCAAATCATATTTGAAATGCACTAAGTTAATTTTTTTAAATAATCCTAGGCCAAATCCTTTGCCACTTGAATTCTTTCCAAAATATGAACAAATAACCTCTAATGTGTATGTCTCTAAGTGCTAAGATGCTTACACTTAGGTCTAGAACTGGCCTCCTCCCCGTCCTCTTTCCTCGCTCTACACTTGCAGGGTGAGAAAAAGGCTTCCACGGAGACTCTTCTTTATCCACTCATACACTCACAATTCCTTCCTCTGGCTTTTTTTTTTTTTTTAAGATTTTTTATTTATTTATTTGACAGAGAGATAGAGAGCACAAGTAGGCAGAGGGAGAGGGAGAAGCAGGCTCTCAGCCAAGCAGAGAGCCGGATGTGGGGCTAGATCCCAGGACTCCAGGATCATGACCTGAGCCGAAGGCAACTGCTTAACCGACTGAGCCACCCAGGCGCCCCTCCTCTGGCTTTTCTTTACGCTCTTCCCATTTCCCAGGATTTTTCTCCTGACCGCCCCCCCCCCCCCAAGCATGCACACTGCATGGCTGTCGCTGCCCATTCTGTGATCCAGCTTACATGTCACTCTCCTGGAGGTTTTCTCATCACCACCACCCTCCGTTGGTTGGGGTTGTTCTTCCGGCTCCCACGCAGTCTGCCTTGGTGCCCCTCGATGTGCCATCCGTCACACACACCCGGATTTAGACTCTCAGTTCCTGGAGAGCCGGGACCATGCCTGCTTCCTCTCTGCAGCCCCTACACTTAGTGGTCCCTTGGTGGGATTTTGTGGACTAAACATTCATGCATTGAAATCCTCATTGTCCCTGAGAGGCAGCTCAAGTTGCGTCTCTTCTGTAAGCCTTCTAAAAATATTGAAACCCCCGATGGTTTTTCATCTTGCTTCTAGCACATACTGGCAGAATCTGACAGCTCCTATTCGGTTATGTGCTCGGTAGTGCCATAGCCAGAGGAGTGGCTGGGGGCAGTGACACCAGGGTAATCTCAGGGGCTGCTAGGGCTATACCTGCAGGCTGGGTGTGGGAGTAGGTTCTAGTCTGTGGGAGGGGCCTGCTGAGAACCTGGCAGGGCCCCCACCCGAGGAGTAGCTGTGGTAAAGCTGCAGTCAACACTAAGGACTCAGAGCAGAAGCCTGCCCCTCAGAACTGCATCCTGATAGGGCTGGCAGTGGGCATGACATGGCGTCAAGCTAGTTTGAGGATGTGAGGTTCTGGATGGGTGAGATTGTCACCTGCCTGAAGTTATCCCTTTGTAAGCTCTACAGTAATAACATTGCAAGCATTTTATTGATCTTTGTATTAGTTCCCTAGGGCTGCCAAAGCTTAAAAGAGCAGAAATTTAGTCACATAGTTCTGGAGACCAGAAGTCCAAAATCAAGGTGTCAGCAGGGCTGTGCTCCCTCAGAAGGCTCTAGGGGAGGATCCTTCCATCTTCCATGCCTGGTTGGAGCCTCTGGTGGTAGCCAGCAATCTTTGGCATTCCTTGGCTTATAGATGCATCTCTCCAGGCTCTTCCTCCATTATCACATGGAGGTCTCCGTTGTGTATGTCTGTGTGTCTCTGTCCAAATTTCCCTCTTCTTTCTACAAGGAAACCAGTCAAGTATGACTTCATCTTAACTTGGTTACATCTGCGAAGACCCTGCTTCCAGAGAAGGTCACATTCACAGATGCCAGGGGTTAGGACTTAACCATATCTGACAGTTCTGTCAGAAAATTATGTGCCCCCCACCCCCTCAATGATTGATTGGTTATTTGGCCATAATAATTGCAGTCATAATCTAAATTGTTAAATATTAAAAGAAATGGGCTCATTTTTATATTTTTAGGTTAATTTTCCAGCTTACGTGCTTGTTATAATTGTTTCTTTACTATTCTCTCTGAAACTCTGATCCCTTTCTCAAGTGAATTCACTCTGATTGGCCGTTTTCCAACAGTAGTTGTCCTTGGGTGATGAGAACCTTCCATCTAATCCTCTCTGGAGGTAAGCGTCCAGACCCTTGGGTGATGCCCTAGGGGACTGAAGTATGTAGGTTGTGTCCTTGGAGGGCCATCCATGAGGGGGGTGCTGGTCCCCTCTCCTCATTTGTAGTCCTCTGTTCAGCCAGCATTTACTGCAGGTGCTTGAGTGTCAGGCATTGGGTAGGTGCTGCAGATACAAGAGGAGGAAGAGAGTTTGCCCCTGTTCTCGAGGGATTTACGGTCTGGTGGGAGAGGAAGAGAAGTAAGAAATTGCACTCTTCTGTGATAGATGTTACGGGGAGCTATTACTGAGATCGCCGTCCTAGCCCACGGGTACTGGTTGCTCCTGAAGTGCTAGTTCCCAGCTGGATGCTTTACCTAACCATCTCAGTTCATCTCAGGGAGCCTTTGCAGTAGGCGTAGTCATTTCCATCTCATTTTATCAGCTCAGATGAGGCAGTTCAGCTTCAGAGCCTCCAAGGAATTGACACATAGTGAGAACAACAACGTGGTTGCACATGCTGGCGTTTCTTGGGCATATTCCATGTACAAGGTTCTGTGTTGATAACACATTTGTGGACTATCTCCTAAAGTCCTCCCATCACCCCTAGAGGTGGGTGAGGAAACGCAACCAGAGGAGGTTATATAATTTGCATAAGGGCAGTACCTGGACCTAAGCAGACTGCCTCAAAACTGTTTTGCTGTGAACTTCTAATGATAGGTAGGCATTAATCAGTAGGTGAGGGAGAGGGATGTTCACCATGCCAGTGGAAGAGTGTCTTCGAGGCCATAGAGACAGAAGAAGCGGAGGTGTATTCAGATGCTCCACCATTCTGTAGTCTGGTGGCCCCGAAACGGGTCTGCTTTTCACCAGTCTCATTACTGCTGCTAATCATAGCTGCCACCTTTTTCCCCTGCCACTCTCTCCCTTATGTTTCCTGACTTTTACTTTCCACTTTTCTCTTCCTGCTGCTTCTCCAGCAGTGTCTGGGGTTAATCGCGGCAGGACTTGGCTTTTTAAGGCGTTGTCAGCCAATGAGAGGACACCTGCTCTGTGACTCATATGCCATATGTCTTAGTCATTTGTGTATCTGGCTGTTTTCATCACCAGTCTTGCTCAGAGGCTTTCTTCCACATGCTTTTGCAGCCACTGTCTCATTTGAGCTTCCATAAAATGAGTATCTGAGGTCATTATGAGGCAGGAATGCAGGTGTGATTCTGGCCTTTTGCAGAAGAGCAAAAAGGTGTAGGGATGCTAAGTCGCTTAGCTTAGAATCCCGAAAGAGCCAACTCAAGAACCCAGATCTGGTGCAGCGCCTGTCCCCATGGGGCTGCCCCTGCTCTCGAAGAACAGTTAATTAAGGTGTACATTTCCATTCATTAAAAGTGTTATTTGTATTTTGTAATGTAATATGTATGAGTCAAAATGATTTTGTTAATTCTCACCCTAAAAAGCCCACAGTCAGAGTAACAAATTTTATAGAACACTTACTATGTGCTGAGCCTTACCCACGTCTTGTCTCCTTAAATCCTTGCAACAACTCCATCATGTCAGTATGGTTACTCCTGGTTTACAGATGAGGAGCTGAGCCTCACAAGGGTCGTGTAGCTAATACAAGAACATGATGGAATGAGAGTTTGAACTCATATCTCCCTTGACCCTATGGCAGAGAGCAGAGCAGTAGCCTGTGTGTGCTCTTTCTCTCGGTTCTGCTCAAAGGGGCGATAGTTGAACCTTTCATTCAGTGGTTCCCTCACATATTTTGAGTCAAGGAATGTGATGAAAGTTGGGGATCCCTTCCCCAGAAAGATACATATTGACACAAAAATTTGTGTTCAAATAAAGGAGATTTGTAGATCCAGTGCTGTAGGTGGTATGAAGAGCAAAGATTCTCTTTAGATCTCTCAAACGGAAGTTCTTTTAACTGTATGCAACGGTGGCCATACTTTTCATACAGGCGAGAAGACACCCTGCCATTGTATGAGCAGCTACGTTTTTTATTCTGACTATTAAAAGTAATACATAACCCCTTCGTACAATAGTAGTCCCATTACCCTATCTTATGGGTGGAGGAACAAGCACAAAGAAGTAATTGGTTTTGTCACATTGTTACAAGGGACAGAGTCAGGCTGAACATGAAACATGCAATATGTGTTCATGCATACAGTCATGGTGTCTGCCTCTTAGTTGTGCAAGTAGCCTTGCTAGGTTTTACTCTTTAAGATACAGTTCCCAATAAACAGGAAGGCATGCTCATCCCTACGTAAGATAAACAGGGTATGGACAGCTTGGAGATTCTTCTGAGGAATCAGGATTAAGCAGCTACATATCTTAAATACAGCAGAGGCCAGCTTCCTTGTTCAGTTGAGTGTGAGATGTCACAGTTTATAAACTATGAAATATTCAGCCATCCACACACAAAGCAAAATACTCAAGGTGAAGAGTAAAATTACCTCTGTCTTCCCACAAACAGTGCCATCGTAGGTGCTTTCCAGGCTAACAGCTGTAGGTAGAGGCCAGAAGTGCTTGAGTTTCGCATTGCCTTTAGCTCTCCCGCTGAAATGAGATTTCCCGTATGGCAGCCTGATGCCACATGGACGTGTCCCAGCAGTGTCATCAGGCCGGAGGTCTCACTTGCGCAGAACCCTGTTGTCTTACCTGTGACTTTTTGTAACTTGGGAAGTGTTCGGGGGTTGCCTTTACATTTGAGGAACAAAGCAGATATTCCTCATCAAACTGCACTTCGAAAATTGTTATGAGAAAAAGGGCCCTTTCTGCTAGGATGCTTGGCCATATGTGTGGCATGTAATCCTTTCTTGCCGTACGCAGTGGAGACCTCAGTAGGTACTGTGAAAAATATCTATCGAAATTCTCATTTTGCATCCCAGTACTGAACAAAGACTCTTTTACTATGAGTGGGATATTTTTCTGAAAATGTCGTGATATCCAAAATTAAGAATAATGTAGAAATCCTGACAGAGGATGACCATATTCTCTTTGTATTTACCTAAATCATTTGGCCCACCAGTTTTCAATTACATAAATATTCATACTTTGTCAAACTGGGGTCAAGTTATTTTTCAAAATAAGAAAATTAAATGAAGCTCTAATAATAAAAACAAAAGTGACACATGCTTATTGCAGAACAGTTAGAAAACACAGAAAAGTATAAAGAAAACATTTACCTATAGCCCACTACTGAGAAAAACTACTATAAACTGTTAATGTGTTATTGACAGTATTTCCATCTTGCAGGTATCGGCATAGTGTAGAGTGGGCCGCAGAGCTCATGCAAAGACAGGGGCAGGAGGAGAGTACAGTGCAGAGAATCCTCCAGGATTACACAAAGCCACTTGAGCATCCTGGTATAAAAAGGAATAAAGAAGTTCAGTGGCATGATGAGCGGAACTCTGAAACGGTTTCCAAAATGGAAGGTACCGCAGATAGAGAGGAACTTTCTGTGATGAATGGGGACGTGGGAAAGTCAGTTGACACCGACGGTCCCAGCAAGCCATCAGACCGCCTGCAGGAGAGCCCTGGGCCTGACCTGCTCGCTCCAAACGGCTTGGATGAACCTGTGGTGGAGGTTCCCAGGCTGCAACACCACCCCCTGCCTCAAGTTTCTTGTGGCAAAGAAGATGTTCTCCTGCCCCTGCCTGACACTCAGCCTGGGGACAGGAGCCAGCAAGCGGGTCTCCTCTGTGCTAGAGAGAAGGGGCCTGGTGATGAGTTCGTGCTGGTGGAGGAAGATGTGTATGACGTGAGCGAGAAGGAATGTGCCCCAAGTGAAGAAGTAAGTATAGCCAACCCTTGAACAACAGGGGTTCAGACTGCACGGATCCACTTATACACAGATTGGTGTTTTGGGGTTTTTTGATAAATACAGTACAATACTGTAAATGTGTTTTCTCTGCCATATGATTTTCTTAATATTTTTTTCTCTAGCTTACTTTATTGTAAGAATGTAGCATATAATACTTATATAAAATATGTGATGATCAGCTGTTTATGTTGTTGGCTTCCAGTTAACAGTAGGCTATTAGTAGTTAAGTTTTGAGGGACTCAGAAGTTATACATGGATTTTTTGTGGCGGGAAATCAGCGCCTCTAACCCCTGCGTTGTTCAAGAATCAACTGAAGAAGAAAATAACTCACTTCCTCCAGAGCCATCTGTTTCTGGCCCATGGCAGATGTGGGCTAACCAGGATGCCCCTTACTCAGAACTGGTAGCAGGCCCACATTAAGTGCCCAGTGTATGTGAGAGGTGGTGAGACCCTCGTTGCGGGGGAGGAGCCAGCAGGCACTGGGTCCCAGCCCTGGTGGCTCAGTAGCTGTGAGAGCTATTTCTACTAAAATCTCAAAGTTTGTGAATAACTTTAAAAAAATGTGTAAATCAAAGCAGGTACAATAATCTTTCCCTTGGGTGGGAGAAAAAGAAGTGCTATGGTAATTACACATAGTCTTGAGTGTGGCTATGGTGCGGGGAGTCCTGGGTATGGAGGTCAGCCAGCACAGGAGAAGCAGTGGGAAGATCAAGAGCCATTCCCTTGAGGGATGCACAGTCAGAGACAGTTGCCCTAGAATTATCTGTAATACCTAAAAATGAGCAAGTCTAATGGCTAAGTAGTATGTGAAACACCTGTTTGAAGAAATATTATCTAGCCTTTAGAATGGGGTTTATGAAGCCTGATAAAGAAGCTAGGCCCACACTTGGGAGGTGCAGGTGGGTGAAAAGAAGTACATAAATTCAACTAACGAAAGGATCATAACTGTGGGAAAAATTCATGGGGAACATAGAAAGGAAGTAAATCAAAATGTTAATAGTAGAAACCTAAAACTTCTTTTTCCACATAATAATAAAAAAATATTTTTAATGTATTTCTCCAATAAATGTGAATCTGTGAAATTTTTAAGAAAAATGTTTGTTTTAAAATGCAATGTGCTCTGTGTAATATGTAGTGCTTCCATTTGTTCTGTATGTATTTTATTTCTTTTCAGTTGGCACCAAAAAAGAGATTAGTATGCAGAAGAAATCCATATAGGATCTTGGAGTATTTGCAACTTAGCCTAGAAGAGGTATGTTTCCTGCATGTTACTTTTTCAGCTCTTGGTCTCGGGGCCAAGGCAACCTGTAATGCAGTCCACTTGTAAATGCAATTCTGTATGTGATTCAGTAATTACTGAGTATTCAGTAATTGAACATTACAAATGGGTATTGAAATGACCATAGGCAATTTCCAAAGTAGGCCAGCCTAAATTTCACTCCTTGGCCTTCATTTCATCAAGTCTAAGATTATGAAGGGTCTTCCTATATCATGAGATACAGTTTATATACCATACCATTCACCCATTTTAAGTGTACCGTTCGTGGTTTTTAGTATATTCATGGAGTTTCACCAGCTTTTAATAAGCTATGATGCATGCTTCAAGTCATGTCATAGCTGCTAATTACATAAATGGATTCTAGATATTTCCTTCTGCAGAATTACTAACACATGTTCTCTTAATGCGATAGCTGCATTCCCAAAAGGTAACTGAAAGTGACTTTCTAAAAACTGCATCATAAATTTTCCCTCTGATTTAGAGTTCCTCCATCCTGTGTTCATGTGGTCAGGCCCTCCTTCTTTGCTTCTGTTTATACTGTGCACAGAAATGTCCTTTCTGCCCTGGAGGATCGCACCCCTCCCCCAGTCTCGTGTTCTTCCTCTCCCGGAGCGCTCCTGCTTGTCTTTGATAGCTCCTGCAGGGGCTAGCACTGTTCTCGGTGTAGACGTGGGTCTCAGGGAGTGCTTGTTGACTGCATCCACATTGGTAACTTCGTGGGCCCATCCACAGAGGAGTAGTTGTGTCTCCATGTTCTCTGGATTTCCTTGTCTGTACTTCCGTCCTTGCAGTGAGGCCAAACGTACAAAGAACAGACTGTGGGACCAGGAAAAGGTGTATGGAATTATTTACTACATCTCCTCGTTCTACAAATGAGACAGCTGAGTCTGTTGTCGAAGACAGTAACCACTAGCCACATGTGACTATTTAAACTAATTAAAATTGAGCAAAATTCAGAATTCTGCTTCTCAGTTGTGCCAGCTACATTTCAAACACTGAGCAGCCGCAGGTGGATAGTGGTGACGTATTGGACAGCACAGGTGTAGAACATCGTCATCATAGGAAGTTTTCTGCTGGACGACACTGTAGATACCCCTCTCTAGGTGCTGGAGCTCTCTGGGCCTTGATTTCTTTTCTGTATAATGAGGGTTACGTAATACCTTGTTCATAAGATCTTCTGGGAATTAACTACCCCATGTAATGGGCTCAGCACAGTGCCAGATACATAATAAACGCTCAGTAAGTGTTAGTGCCTGCTTTTCTTGTTGTTATATTATTAAATTACTTGTAAATGCTATTAAGTAGCTAGTTGGAACCTTCTCTTCTGCAATCAATATTTTGCAAAAATGTTCACTGGGTACTTACTCTGTGCCAGGCACTGGGCTAAGTACTAACAATACAGAAGTAAACAGAATATGGCTCTGGTCCTAAAGAGAGCCCAGGAAACAATTACGTTCCATGTGGTCTTGTGCCAGTGTTGCTCCTCTGGTATCCTTGTACCCAGTGTCTGACGTCTGTCACGTGCTTAATAATTATTTGTTAAATGGGTGCATTCAAGGTGTGGAATTTGCACAGAAACTGGTAGAATCCAAAGGGACGTGAGCTAGCTGGAAAGACTTCACAGAGTCAGTGATCTCTGTAGATGTTAAAAGATAAATAGGGGATTGCCAGTTGGACACTGGACAGCAAAGGCTCTTCCGTGCAGCTCAACCCTGGATGGCAACACGGGAGGGCTAGGTCGGGAGGGCATATCTACAGGTATGTACCAGGGGTCTGACCTGGTCCTGGAGGCCCTGGGGCACCGCAGGTGCTACATCAGAGAAGGGCAGGTACTGGAGCTGGCATCAGTAGGAGGCTGGGCTGGAGGGCTGAGGCCAGGAGGGGCTGGCCAGTATCTCAGCTCTGGGAGGCGGCAGCCGTAGGCAGAGAGAGAGCATTAGGTGCCAGCCTCACTGTTCCAGTAGGTCCAGTTGTGTTCCATGCAATGCTTTTTACCGACAAAAAAAAGGTGTTGCTGTCTGCTGTTCTCTCCCAAACACTCCCTGAAGAAAGACAAGAGTAATGGGAGGTAGATGAGGTTGCTCTGCATTCTTGGAAGCTGTTTCGTTTCTGAGGACATTCCAGAGAGGTGTTGCAGTTTTCAGGGAGTGTGCAATTAAACCTAGCTCTGCCTCTCAGGTCTGTTTTGGCAGATTTCCTCTGAATGAATCACCTGTGTTTGGTGCACCACTTGTGCAGTTTAATGTGTTTCCATAAATATCGATCAGGAACACGGGCAGCCCTTCTGTGGTGATTCAGAGCAGTTCTTTCTGGGCCTCGGGAATGATAATACCACAGCTGACTTAAAGATCTGTCTCTTAGAAATCTGTTACTGAGAACTGTTTTTCCATTATAATGCTTTGGGACCTAACTAGATTTAGTGATGACGTTAAAACCATCGTTAAACTCATCCCTCCATTTTGCTTTGATAGTAAAAACTTACTAATGAGATCTCAAGGGACATAATCACCTACCCCTACAAGTATGTACCAGGGCTCTGACCTGGTCCTGGAGGCACTGGGGCATCGGTGCAGAAAGGCCCCAGTCTTCTGATTATTCAATTCTAAATAAAGCCAACTCAGTTGAATTAAGATCCACTCCATCTGTAATAAGTGCCTACGAGCAGTTTGTATATATTCATAAAAGCCATTTATTTTAGGCCAGTAAATATTAATGAGGCATTGGTTTCATCAGTTCTTAGAGAAACATGTGTTTACTGATAATGGAAAGTTTCTGAAGAACTTAAATTCTAACAGACACCAGGAAGGAGTCTCTTGCTTGGCAAGGAGAAGATTGAACTTGGGCAGGCTACAATATCTGAATGGTGTTTTAAAAGGAGGGGAAACTAAAATGAATTGAGCAGTTAGGTACTTTGCATAGCCTTTAAAATTTTTATGAGACTTAATCCCATTAGATCTTTAAAAAGGCATTTTCATCCCCATTTTGTAGATGAGGTAGGAGAGCTTAAGTGACACTTCCAAGGGCATAGCTGTTAATGAAGATTTCAGCCCAGCTCTGCCACATCCCAGAGTTCATCCTACCTGTCGCCCCGTTCAGAACCAAGAAGTGACAGCTGGGAGAAGTCGAAAGGGGAAGCACTTGGCTGTTTGAGGACCCAAGTTTGTCTCCTCCGTGGCACCTTCTGGCCACCGTCTGTGTGCATCCGAGAAACAGTGGTACTCTGCATTAGTGAGTAGTGTGCCACAGGAAGACAAAAGGTCAAAATAATAATGTAGGACTCCTGGGAAGGCTGTCACCACTAGCTGCAAGGGACTGTGGGGCATATAGCATCCACCTGAGGAGAAAGGAGCTGGCAAGCCAGGCCTGCAGAGACCTGCTCTCGGTGACTCTGGCAGTGTCCTAAACTCAGGGTCGATTCTATCCGCACAAGCACTGAGCAGATGCCATGTGCTAGACCCCCTCCCGGGCCAGGGCAGTGGCAGGCAGAGTTTCTGCTCTCATAGAGTTCACATTCAAGTTGGAGAGATACATGTAAGAAAGATGTTTTCAGACAAAAGTGTTTTGAAGATGATCAGGATGAGGGTTGCTTAACAAGGGTGGAGGGGAAGACCTCTCCAAAAAGTGACTTTTGAGTCTGGGGCAGAATGTGCCAGATACTGGAGTAGCACTTACAAAGATGAAGGCAGGAAAGAGCTTAGTGTGTTCAGGGGCAGACATGGAGCCAACATGGCCAGAAAGAGTGGTGGTCAGATTTCGCAGGGACTGGAGGCAGTGGGAAGCAAAGTGCTGTGAAGCCTTCTGGAGGGTTTTAGTCGTGGGAGCCACGTGGTCTTCACATGGGAAAAAGATGGCTCTGGCTGCCGTGGAGAATGCACAGAGCAGAAAGGCCTCTGAGAAGTCCAGGCGCGGAGTGGTGGCTAGGACCCAGAGAAGTGGGGTCACCTGCATCTTCAGAGAAGCTCTAGGTTTAGATCTGAGTGAAACTAAAGTGGTAGTTCCCAAGCCACTTTACTCTCTTAAAAATTATTGAAGATCCCAGGAACATCTTTATGTGAATTATATCTGTCACTGTTTACCAAATTGTAAATTAAAACAAAATTTTAAATATTTGTTCTTTAATTCATTTTAAGATAATGATGATAAATCCATTATATATTAACATAAATAAAATTTTATGAAAAGTAACTATATTCTTTCAAAACAGAACAAATTCAGTGAGAAGAATGGCAGTTTTTCGCTTCTGCCAGTCACTTTAAGGTCTGGCTTTATAGAAGTCAGCTGGATGCCCACGTCTGCTTCTGTATTCAGTCTGTTGTGATACCACATGTCTTGGAGCCTCTGGAGACAATGAGCAGGAACAAGGCAAATAATGTGTTATTACCATGAAACAGTTTTGACCTGGAGACCTCCAGAAGGGGTCTCGGGGTCTCCAAAATCCCCAGACCACACTTGGAGAACCACTGCTGTAAAGAGAAGTGCCATGAGATATAGCCAGGAGAAAATGACGGGGTGGATTCAGGCAATTCCTGGGCATCACAGAGGTATTTCTCGCTGCTGCTTGAAACCCCCCACACCTCCATAGGCTGTGTTCTCTTAAATCCTCTTGTGGTTTGTTCCTGTGCGTGCTAGGGCAGTGAGGAAGCAAGCTAAGTAAGCACTGGTCATCGGTGCCATGCTGTTGAACAAAAATGTGCAGGCTCAGGGCTGAGGACCGCATCTCTGTCGCCACACTACGTAAGAGGGCCCTCGTCTGTGCCACGTGGTGGCAGCAGCAGAATGGTTTTCGTTTGGTTATAATCTTCTGTCCTCATGTTTATAAAGAAAATACCCCAGTTTTACTGATACCACCATTTAGCCACTACGACGCACGAGTGTCGCATATAAGTCTGTAAACAAAGTGTAAACGTGGATCCTATCCCCCTCTACAAGTAGAGTGAGCAGCAGGGTCTGTTTGGTGGTATCAGTGCTTGGCATTGTCTTACTTTTATCAGAAAGCAGTTTGGGGCGCCTGGCTGGCTCAGTTGGTGTCAAGTATATGACTCTTGATCTTGGGGTTGGGAGTTCAAACCCCACGTTGAGTGTAGAGATTACTAAAAAAATAAATTTAAAAAAAAAAAGCTATTTTGGGGCTCCTGGGTGGCTCTTTGGGGGCTCCTGGGTGGCTCCATCAGTTAAGAGTCTGCCTTCAGCTCAGGTCGTGGCCCCAGGGTCCTGGGATCGAGCCCCGCATCGGGCTCCCTGCTCAGTGGGGAGTCTGTTTCTCCCTCTGCCTCTCCCCCTGCTTGTGCTCGCTCGTTGTCTCTGTCAAATAAGATCTTAAAAAAAAAAAAGCTATTTTTATTTCCATCTAAGTGTGATTTTACTCAACTACAACTGACTTCCTTTGCTTTTCCTCCTGCCTTCCCATGCAAGTAAAACACATTACTGTATAATGAAGTTCATGGAAAGATAGGGATTAATAGGAGATCACTTTACAACAAGGATTGTAACTCATGTTTTGTTATGCAAGCCAAATCTACACTGCCCACTTTTCACAAATTTCTATATGTCTTTCTGTAAATTTTTTTCTCAGTTTGATATGGTTATTTAATTTTACAGAGGAAAAGATTTCTATTATTACAACTATTTACATCATTTTTCAATTTAGCTATGTGGTTTTTAAGAGGAAAATACATGGAAAATATCATACAAATACTTTGTTTTTTACTGATTTTTAATCAATTTGTTGCTTTCATATTTTCTTAGATTTTTTTTAATCCTTAAAATTTGCATAAACCATTTATGTTAAAAATATGTGACCATTTTTTGAAGATGATTTAAGGACATTAATTTGTACTTAAGGCAAAGAGAAATCAATCTGTAAAATAATTTCTCAAGAATGTGGGACTGTTTCTAATGAACATTTTCTGCTTGCTCTGTTTTTAGGCCTTTTTCCTGGTCTATGCTCTGGGATGTCTGAGTATTTACTATGAGAAGGTAAGATGTCATATTTAAATAAAATCCACTTAAAATTTTCCTGGTGTTAAAAGCAGGCTGTAGTAATTTTCATATTGCTGTAATACAAATGTACCTACTTTCACTGAATAAAATTGGAATTGAATTTTGTCTCTAGGGTTAGGCTTTGGGCCCTGAATTGGGATTTTTGGGGGGGGGGGTTAAGATTTTATTTATTTGTTTATTTGAGAGCGAGAGAGAGAGCACGTGCAAGCAGGGGGGAGGGGAGAGGGAAAGGGGAGAGAGAACCCCAGGCAGACTCCGTGCTGAGTGTGGAGCCTGATGTGGGGCTTGACCTCACCACCCTGAGATCGTGACCTGAGCCAAAATCAAGAGTGACATGCTTAACCAACTCAGCCACCCAGGCACCCCCTGAATTGGGATTATTAAGGCAGAAGCCAGCTTTGACTCTTTCAGATTGAACTTCATTCCCAGAGACTAGGAGAAGAGCAGTATCTTAAATGATGATCAGGAAATTGGTGTCAGAACAGTACTAAAAATTAAAACTGCCAGTGTTCAATGCCTACTTAGGTAAAGGCTGTGTGTTGTTGGGTACCTTTCAGGCGGTACTTCTCATCCTTGCCTCTGCCTGGTAGGAATTCTACAGATAAGGTAACTGAGGCTCAGAGGAAGTAAGTAATTCACCCAAGGTCACACAGCTAGTCTGGTTAGAATTAGTACTTGAAACTATATGAAGGTATCTCCAAAGCCTGTGATTCTGTACTGTAGCCTGCTGCCCTTAGAAGAAAGTTCCACGAGAAGCTGATACCATTGCTTACCTTCTGCTAGAGGCTTTGGAGGACTGGGCACACAGGTAGAAAGGGAGACTTCACTGTACATTTTTATACTTTGTGAATTTGGACCATGTGAATATACCTATTCCAAATAATTCAAATGAATTAAAAAGAGAAAGGTAAGCAGAACAATAAATAGAACAGAGAAAGCATATTTTGTTCTGTTCTTGGAAGTACATAATTTTATCATTCATCAAATTCTAATTATATAAATTCTTTTCAAGAGTATTCCAGTGGTTTGAAAATAGCTATCAGCTGATGGGTGACTCATTTTCCCAGATGGTGGCCATTCTTAGCCCACCTTGCCTCCCCTCCTGGGTCTTAGCTGAAATTCTCGAGAATATTCCACTACTACCTAGAATCCTCAGCCTCTGAAACATGATGGTCTCTCCATATTGGAAGTTCAGCCTTCCCTACAAGACTGTTGCTTAATACAGGGGGGCTGAATGTATCCTTGCTTTGGGATTTAAAGGCCACACATGTATGGAATTTCTACCTTAGAAACAATTTTAAAAAGAAGAAGAAAAGAAGGAAAAAACTCTAGCTCATTTTTATGGATTTAAAGTCTCAGGCTGAGACAAACTGAGCAGGTCTCATTGACTGAGCCCTAAACCAGCTGGAGAATCGAATGTTCTCTGAACCAAGCCATTCTCTGTGTCTTCATATCCTCTGTTAGGAACAAAATTCTCTTTGAAGCAGTTAGATTATTCATTTAAGCCGTGAGATAAATTCTCTAGTTTCCAAGACTAAATGGGGCATCTTTTTTTTTTTAAGCTTTTACAGAATTATGTTTTGGTTTTTCTGAATGTGGCCTGACATACAGTAGCTACTCGCCTGGGTCACTGCAATGTTTGGAACGCGCTGCCCTCCGGCTATGGTGGACTTGTCACACTCGAGCACCCGGCACATGCTCGTTCCTCTGCCCGGAGTGTTCTTGTGCAGCAGCCCCCACTGCCCCCAGGTTCCCCCCCACCGCCCCTGGTCCCCCCGCTGCCCCCTTCCACTTGGCTGCTTCCTCCTCATCTCAGACATTGCAGTTGCAGGGAGGCCTTCCCCAGAGCAGTGCTGCCTCATAGACGTGAATATAAGCCTCAGACAAGAGCCGCGTGCGTCGTCTTGAATTTTCTGGTAGCGCATTGAAGGGGTTAAAAGAAAAAAGTCGTATTATTTACAGAGTTTCTTTAACTCAACATATCATTCTTGTTTTCCTACCAAGTCTTTGAAATTCGGTGTGTATTTTCCACCTGAGGCACATCTCCCTTCTGGACGGTGTCTGGTGCTGCCACACTGGACAGCACAGGCCTGGGTCCTCTGTGAAGTCCCTCCGTCACGGGCACTGTCTGTGTTGACTGCTTCGGCGCCACACCTGGTGTAGATGTCAGTTCACTGGCTGAATGAAGAGCGAATACATACATAATAATGCCCTTTTTTTCTCTCACCAACATTAGGAGCCTTTAACAATCATGAAGCTCTGGAAAGCTTTCACTGTAGTTCAGCCCACATTTAGGACTACGTACATGGCATACCATTACTTCCGGAGCAAGGGCTGGGTGCCCAAAGTGGGACTTAAGTATGGGACAGATTTACGTAAGTACTTCTTGACTCGGTAGAACGCTGGTTCTCACACCAGCGTTTGCAGCAGATCCCAAGGTGAAAACTGAATTGGTAATATATGCTGTTGCTGATTTTTTTCTAAGATGATACCTTCATTTTGGCTTAGATAAAAATATTTGGGTTGGGGTGGAGGGTTTGTCCAGAAAGAGTGAAAAGGAAGTCTAAGTGGAAAGCCTGGAGATAGAAGCCTGTAGCCCCAAGTATTCAGGTTTTCCTCTCACCTGCTCTGTAATCTGAGAAGAGAGTTTTACAGCCCCCACTCCCCTCCTCTCATTAGCCATGTGATCATGTGATATAGGGCAGTCCCTTATCCTCTAGGCCTCAGTTGTCTCATCTGGCAAATGAGAATAATCATACTATTGTAATAATCCTAGCTGTCCTTTGTTGAGCACTTACTATGTGTCAAGCATTTTAAAATTCATTATCCCATTTCATCCCTAAAGCAATCCTATGCAATGGATCTCTTATTATTCTTTTTTCTTTTTCTGATGTGGAGATTGCAGTTGTGTCCTGCTAAGTCCCTCAAACTCATTTTTCCACATCTGCTAAGTGAGGGTGCTTCCTGGATGTTCAGAATTGTGGGGCTCAAACAAAAATATCAAGCTATTTGAGAAGTCATGGCCCTTGAGGTCTTGTGAGCTGTGTTATATGCTTGTTTCATGTGTTTTGAGCCTTTTTTTAATACACAAAGCCAATTCAATCTTTTAAATCTTTAAATGCTCTAAAATTGTGCTTAACCTGAAATCATAGTATAGTCTTCAGGAGACCCCAGCATAAAATAATTGTTTGTAGATTGGTATGTTTTTCTGGGTCAAGAGTCCACCGCTTTCGTTAAATTCTCAAGTGGGGAGGGAGGGTGTCAGCAGTCCAAAATAAAGGTTAAGGATTTCCTAACCCTCTAAGATAAATGGTTTCTTTTATTTCTTCCATGCCTGGATTTCAGGTACAGATATGCTAACTCAGGGTTAGCACACAAATGATCAGGATTAGTTTGAGATTAGCTTGCTAGGTTTCCACATAATTGTGTTGGCCACAGTTCACGATGTTTAAATAAGTTATGTGCCTGTTTCATTTTCCTTCGTTGGCTTCCCACCCTGTTCTCCTTTTCATACTCCTGTAAGAATAGCTGTTTGGTACAAATGCTTGGCAGGTCTTCCTCAGCTTTCTCATTGTATGGGTGAAACTTGAGTTAGAATTTTCCATCGACAAGGCTGCAGGGATACTTCCAGAGGTGGCTGGGGCTAGTAAAGAGAGCTCTTTGGGTTCACAACCAGCTCTACCTCTTTACTGTGTGACCTCAGGCAAGTTACTTCATCTCTCTGAGTGTCCATTTGCTCATCATATAACACGGATAGCACCATCTTCTTTACAAAAAATAAAAATTGCAGGGGAAAAGGGCCTTTGTTGAGTGCCTTCTAAATATACCACATCTCATGTATTTTCAATGCTAAGCCATATTTGTGGATGAGGAGTCATTTTTAAAATAAACCACCTTATAGGGATGGTTGAAAGGACAGACAGATTTTTTTAAAGAAATAAAACAACTGTTATTTCCCAGCTCCCTGGAGGCCTTTGCCACAGCTGGGTCATATCATGTACTTCGAGCTGCTTGTATAATTAATGTGAGACCAGGTCTCTGGCCCAGCAGCAACATGAGGGGTGTCTTCACATTTCCTGCTTTAGCAGGAGTTCACAAGCAGTGCTAGACCGGGGTAAGAGGAACAGCGAGCGTCCTGGGGCGCCTGGCTGGCTCAGCCAGTGGAGCGTGCAACTCTTGATCTCGAGGTTGTAAGTTGAAACCCCACGTTGGGTGTAGAGATTACTTAAAAATAAAATCTTTAAAATAAAAAAAAAAAAAAAGAGGAACAGCTTTCTAAGCTTTCCTCTTCTCTAGGCACAGCTGCTTGGTGCCTGCTGTTTTTTAACAATAATATTATTTTAATTTTGAGGTTCAGTGACCAAATCACACATACCCTAGAACTGTCAGCACAGGTTAAGCCCAGGACATCCCCTCTTAACTATTGTTTCTGCGTATAGAGGTAATGACCCAGGACAAAGGGCCATTATGGAATTCACATCTTATCAGGAAAACTCTTCCCCTTGAATAAATCTTGTCAGTCACTTTTCATTCCAGGAGCCGTAGTCAGAACAAATGATATGGATCTCAAATTGAGTGCAACTGCTGAACTCCTTGACTTTGATCACCCACTGGTGAAAACCAGATTAGAAACCCAAGTGGGAGCCTTTTCTTACATTCCCCATCCAAAAGCTCCTGCAGCTGCTGGCTCTCACAGTGACCCGGCACCTTGCCTTGGTGTTTCTTCCCTCGTCTTATTTCATCTTAATACTCCTGTGAGCATGTGGCGTTCGCCTCCTTTTATAAGACGCTGAGGAAATTATGGTTTAGAAGGGTCAAGCAAGTTGCCGAGGGTCCCACGACAAGTAAGTGCGGAAATTTGCCCTGTCTGGGTCCAAGCTCCTTGTACTTCCACCACACTAAACTGCTGTTGCCAGCCAGAAAGCTGAAAACCAGCTCCACGTGTCTATTTTTTTCCGACACGTGCAGCTACTGGTTGATGTGACTTAAGATCTAGTTACTCCTAAGCCTCCCTCCCACGCACTCCAATTTTGGATTCGCACTGACTGAGTTTGGTCATGTAATTTCACAGCAGCCTGTGAATTAGAAGTCGCAAGACAGGTGGAGTGATGGGAACCATTAGAAGCCAGCAGCATACAAGGTTCCCAGAGCCCAAAGGAACACTCCCTAGTCATGGCGCCCAGCTCAGAGGCTGATGACTGGTTCTGCTCCAGGGAGGGGCATCAGAGCAGCTCCTCTGTACTCATCACAAACAAAGAGCTATGCCTTCTTCTCATGTCTTGGTTCTTTCCTAAACCACTCTCTTGGCTTATTTTTCCAGTCAAACTTCTTATTTTCGTTAACATTTTCCACATCTGCACACATGATCCATAGTATTTCTGTGTGCAACTCATAAGAATAGGGACATTCTCCTTTGTAAGTATAATACCATGCAATACGTGGGAGAAATCAGAACTTTGAATATCGTCAAAATACCAGAAAATTTAAATTCCTCTGTTATCCCCAAAATGTCTTTTGCAGCTATGGGGGTTTTGCTGTTTTTGTTTTAATACAGGCTCTAGTCACTGTTCATGTATCACATCTGGTGTTGTAGGTTTCTCTTTTATTTTGCTAGGGCTGCCATGAGAAATTACCACAATCTGGGGCGGGTGGGGGGAGCTTAAAACAACAGAAATTCATTCTCTCACAGCTGTGGAGGCTGGAAGTCTGCTGGGTGGTAGGGGACATCGATCCCTTGCCTCTTCAGCTGCTGGTGGCACCGGGCGTCCCTTGGATTATGGTTACATCACTCCAGTCTCTGCAAAGAGCCTTTTCCAAAGAAGGCCACCTTCACAGATTCTGTGGATGTATCTTTTGGGGGCTACCATTCACCCCACCACAGCCTCTTTGGCTTTTTTTTAAATCTGTGACAGTTTCTCTACTTTGTTTTTCATGACATTGAATTTTTTGAAGAGTCCTAGAGGATATCCCACATTTGTTTCCTCATGATTAGACTCCAGTTCACATTCTTTGGCATGCATAGGTGTTATGTGTATTATGCCCCATCAGGGGGTACTTAATGTCACGCTGTCCCACTGTTGATGATACTAAGTTTGATTACTTGGCTAAAGTGGCCATTATCAGATGTCTGTTGTAAAATTGCATATTTCCTTTTGTAATTAACAGGTAATATGTAAGATGAGACTGTGCATATGTGTCCCCAATAATTGTAACAGTTGCCCAAATTAATTACTGCCCTAATCATTTTCTAATTCTGTCATTCCTTCCACATGCCGTGTGCGGCTTTCATTTATAAGAAGGAGCTTTCTCTTTTCCCTGTTCTTTCAGACTTTATTTTTGAATGCCCAGGATTTCTTAGGCTTCAGAAGTTTTCATCTTTCTGCTTGAGAGGCATTTTTGTAAAATGATTTTATTTTTCCCTCTGAATACACTATCATCATTATGATTATTATTCTGGGTAACATTTTGAACCCTCACTTTATGCCAGCCACTGTGCCAACACCTCTACCTTCACTTACCACCCCCAGATTTCATAATAAGGAGATTGAAACACAAGGCGTCGTCATGTGGTCTTGACACTGATAAGACTTGACTTGGGTCTGTCTCATGCCAGTGTTCATGCTTTTACCTTCTAACGCTACACCACCATCATCATCAGTCATCTGAAACGACCCCTGCTTTCCAGCTGTGTAATGTTCCAGATGCACGTTAGAGATGTGTGCCTGGTCATAAATAATAGTATTTGAATGCTAGAAAAGATCTCAATTTCCCCTTGTTCCTCATTTTCTAATTTTGGAAACTGAGGCTCAGAAGTGTTAGTAACTTGCTTGAAGTCACACAACCATGAGTGGCAGAACCGGGCAGGAAACAAAACTCCTGAATTCAAGTTCATTCCAGTACACGGTTTCCTTCCACTACACCACATCTCAAAAAATTGAGGATTGTATGTTGGGGTATTTACTTAAATTTGTACCCTTACACAGTGAATTTGAGCTGACTTGCCAAATCCTTTAAATATAATTTCAGTAGGAAATATAATAATAAAAAGGAAACATGACCCTAGAAAAGGTAGTCTGGGTGAAGGGTTGCTGTCTTGTCCATGAGCCTACAGGGTTACTACTCATGCTCTCAAGTTGGCTCTGAGCTTGCTGAGCCTAAGGGAAATTAGCTACAGTACTGGTATGGCCAAAAAGGAAAATTCTATCAATTCCTCAAAGGATAAAAAGCTTTTCTGCATTTTTGATTTTACACTGGGGACAGCCACAAGCTTATAGATGTAATTGTATATTAGTAAAGGTATTTCTTATACCTGTAGTTACTATAAACCCCACATCTCAGAGGCTTAACAACAGAAGTTAATTTTTCATGTGAAATCCAAAAACTGGTGTCTCTGAATGGTGAGCAGATCAACTCCCAAAGGTGCTTCAGGAGCCCAGGCTTCTTCCTTGTGTCTCCATGGTCTTCACCACATGGCTTTCAAGGTCATCTTCAAAAAGGAATAAGTACAGGCTTGGTACATGGCAGGGTTTTATGGGCCAGCCTGGCTGCTTGGGAGACTAAGAGACATGATCTAGCCATGTGCCTAGAAAGAGAGGGAATGAGTTTGATAAACAGCCACTCCCTGTCACAGACATTGTGCCTCTGAAGGGTGGCCTGTGCAGTTCCAGAGTCCACGGGGCAGAGTCCTTGCCCCAGGCTCTTGTGGGCACTGGCTTTTGACCTCCACAGATTGAATGAGTAGGGCAGACTGATCTCCAAATGGCCTGTATGGTTATGTGACTATTCCCCCAACCTGACTGAATTTCTTAAAAATAGTGATGATTCTTACTCATCTCTAGCACCAAGACTCAAGTCAGCTTGTACCTGGCCAGAGTACCTCAGACATTTTAAATTACTTTGATTTGAAATTAATAACAAAATACCAGTCCACATTATATACACTTCACATGTTTGACATAATTTCACATTCTCACTCTGGAAGAGTATAAGACAAAAGGCAAGACCAAAATCACTTGTATTTGAATTTGGATTTCATTTGTGGGGTGAGGGTGAGATAAGATTGTTAGGATCTTGGCCACAGATTTGCTTTACTAATTGCATTTTGTTCTGAGGGAAGAAAACAGTTTGGGTTTTAAAAATAGAGCACAGGGCATATTGCAGATTACCCATATACAGATAATTGGGTATTTATGTCTCTTTGGAGAAGAGAAAATGTCAGTAATAAGGATTTTGATTTCAAGTGGTTATACATTTTCTTTCTTTTTCTTTGCAGTGTTGTATCGAAAAGGCCCTCCATTTTACCATGCAAGGTTTGGAGTGATTTTTAAATAAGTTAATGGCTTAAAGGGACAGGAGGAAATTTCTGACCTCCAGTGTAATTTTCAGTGCCACAGAAACTATTACAATCATGTTTCTCTTGACCTATTAGGAATAGATACTCTAAATCTGTGCCTTATACACTAACATTGTTGTACTATATGTAAAATAATAAATAGGTTATGGGAAACGTTGTAGTGTTACATACTGAGTTAATGTATGCAGTAATTGTTCATCGTAATTATCAGTGAGTGTTAGTATCTAAACAGTTGAGTGAATTCATGGCTTTCTTATTGGGAGAAATATTTTTGTTCTCTCCTTGTCAGTGTTGAGATGAGCCTGAAAGTTTGTAATGTAAAGTAAGTGTTTTTCATTAATACTTTTCCAATAATGTTGCAGGGGCATTTAGGATTAGATGATGTATATATATTATTTTCTGTATCTCTGTTCTTGGTAGAACAAGCGTTACTCTTTTTAAAGAGGTTGATTTCATGCCTTTTATTTTTACAATGCCCTCTATCTGTCTTCCAGTTACTCTGTCATTATTGAGTTAGTCGATGACCATTTTGAGGGCTCTCTTCGCAGACCTTTCAGTTGGAGGTCACTGGCTGCCTTGAGCAGAGTTTCGGTTAATGTCTCCAAGGTAACAGCATCAGCTTTGGCATTCACGTGTCACTTAAAATGGTTGGATTTTTTTTTTTTTCTTAAATGTAATGGAACCCTAAAAGTCATCTGTAGGAACTTCACACCTGCCAGCAAGGTTCTAAAAGATGGGGCTAGAAGCTGACCTCCTCTCGCATTCCCTGCCATCACCCACTGGTGCTGAGCTCCAAGAACTGAGCTTCAGAGTTTCCTGTAATGATTGGTGTAGGTGGGCCTTGCCTTCCTTTCCAGGGGTGCTGTCAGCACATGCTCAGAATTCACTCACACACATTCACAAGGGAGTCAAAACATTGATAAATTTCTTTTCAGAGCTAGCAGATCTCTTGAGGAGAGAGGAAGGATATTAATCTTTATGGCTAAGCACTGTACATGTTTTCTCTCACCACCCTGTTGTTATTCTCATCCCTAAGGGTGAGGAATCAATCAGAGTCAGATGTTGAGTGGCAAAGCCAAAATCATGCAACTTATATGCAGAATTGGGATTCAAACCCAGAGTCCTCTGACTTCCTGGCTTATGTTCTGCTGGATTTTGCTGCCATCAGGATAGGAGGGAAATTTCATCTTACACCAGGACTACTAAGGATGAAAGCTTTGTGTGTTCTCTGTTATTCAATAGTTTGCTAACTGGACACAGATTGTGAACCCCCTCTGACTCTGTCCCAATGCTGCTGGAGGCGCAGTGGGGGGAGGAGGGCGCAAAAGGTCCAGCAGAGGCCAGGTGGCAAGTGCCTTGAGTATGGGTTAAGTTCCTTATGCGTGGCCTATAAAAAGTAGCTTTGTCTTTTAGAAATAGGGAGTCTATACTGTTTCTAGTATTTTTATACCCATTTTATGGGACTTGTAGCATATATTTAATATTTTAAATGCTGTGTTTTTAATCCACATATTTGCTTTATTTGCATTCTCTTGCCATGTCAACAATGACTAAATGGCAGGTCCTTAGTCTAGATCCCAGGCCCAGTCACGTTCCTAGAAGGAAACCAGTGTGCTTTGTAAGTTTCCAAGAGCACAGTGTGGGAGGGAATGGAGCCTGCCTGCATTTCCTGCACCCAAATTTGTATTATTATTGTGTGGGATGTGGATGTTTTTCTTCATTTCTCAATAGGAACTGATGCTATGCTATTTGATTAAACCCTCTACCATGACTGACAAAGAGATGGAGTCCCCAGAATGTATGAAACGAATTAAAGTTCAGGTAGGTAAACTTAGAGACAAACTCATGGTATCCCAAAGATTCTGTCTACCATACTGTGTCCTCTGGAACATGGGGTCCCAAGAAAAGAAATGAAAACCATCTTGCCTTGATAACAGGAAGCCCCCTCAGGCCCGCTCCCTGCTGAGCCCACTCTCACTTCCCCGTAATTCCTGCTGCCGCTTTATCTGCCATGTCATCTGGCTTCCGTCTCCACCATGCAGCTGACCCTGCTGTCACAGATGGCCTGGGAACTCCTGACCAGGCCTCTCCCAGGTCTCATTCCCAGAAATTAAAGTGGCGCTGCTAACTCACTCCCCCCTGGAACTTCTTGTCCGGCTTCTGGGGTTCTGGCTTCTGAGTCTTCCTGGCGGGTGTTTCTCTGGCAGGGCTGCCATCCTGTCACCCAGTATTAGTTACTATTTCTGCCCCTCGCCCCGGCTGGGGCTCCTCCCCCACATCCAGCACATCGTCAGTTTTCTTTGTCTCTGAGGCTGCACCCTTCCTCCTTTTTCACACTGCTCTGTCCCACCGCAGCCTCCCCGGCCCCCGCGCCTCCTCCATGCAGTTTGCCCAGCTCGTGCCCCCTCGGTCAGCTGCTCATCGAATGCCAGCCCAGACCCACTTGGTATGCCAGCGCCATCTCAGAGCTGGTTCTAATGTGAAATGCTAGCTCTCGTCCTGGCACTCTTGTTCCTGAAATGTGCTAGTGGAATACAACTGCCAAGGCAAGTTTCGCTTTTAAGATCTTGGTGTGATTATGATAGGTAGGGTTTTCGTGGAAGGTGTGTAGTGCTGCCTTCACCTTTCCCCCAGGTGTTTCAGTGACAAGGAATGGGAACAGGTGTCCTCATTATATAGACCGGTCTTTGTGAAATGTTGCTTTGATCTCACACACCTAGCATGTTCTTTCATTTCTGTTTTTGAAATTCTTAGTCACCTTTTTATTTTTATTGGCTACAGGAGGTGATTCTAAGCCGTTGGGTTTCTTCACGAGAGAGGAGTGACCAAGACGAACTTTAACAATTCAACCTCAGAATTCTGATTTACCAACAAATACTATTGAGTCTCCTACAGTAAGCCAAGTTCAGTGGAGGTAAAGAGTCCTCTTATTGTAACCGCCCAATAATTGAAAAGTTTTAAAGGGCATAGCAGTCCCAGCACCAAAAAGCTGTTAGTATTTTACAAAATAAAATTACACAGGGGAGAAAAAAGAGCTCTGTGCTGGCCTTCAGATTCTGTCCTTGGGTCATTCACTGACTCCCAACTGATGCCGAGCTTCTCTTCTGTGGGCCTGTGTCCTCATCCATTCAGTAAACAGGTCGGACTAGATGAGTCCCAAGAGGACTCTTCCAGCAACAGGGAAATTGTGTTACTCTCTGATTTTACCTGAAAATGACAGTAGTTTACATTTATGTGGCACAGTACTGTTTCCCAAAGGCTTGTGTACACATGCGTCTCTTGTTACTCACCTCCAGTCTGTTCCTGAAAGAGTGCCGGAGAGGAGATTTGGGGATTTTAAGACCCTGTATTCCATTATGTTAAATGGAACAAATAATGTGTCTCACCTTATCTAAGAACTTGAACCAATTACTCGAACGCTTAAAAATCCGTTTAATATCTGTCAAGGATTTCCGAGTCATAAAGCCTTTAAAACCTAATCTCTAACTCTCAGTGAACTCACTGATGGACATGTTTGTGTATAGTACGCAGCAATATTGTACAGTATTAGATAAAAATTGCATCGTACTTCAGTGAACTTGTTATAAAATTAAAAAATGTAGTGAAATAATGTATGGAGATACATAATGAATGCAGTTGGCATTTGGCAAAAACACAATAAACCAAGCCTTTTTCAAATTGGTTAGACAGTCTTCTCCTTAGCACTCAACACCCCAGAAGTGGACGGTAAGAGCCAGAAGCTGCGAGATGACTAAGACGGGCATCTGTGTGCATTCCTCTGATGCATGGTCCTGGAGCTCCCGGCAGCCCGAGATTCGGATTGTGGTTATGTGTGTTAACGCGGTGCTTCTGTTCGCGGCATGATCCTGCTCTCTCACAACAGAATCATTATATCTGCACGGTCTACATTTTAAAGATTTGTCATTCAAATGAGGGAGGTTGTCCTCTTCCCCCCCCCCCCCCCCCCCGGCCGCAGACCAGTAATGACCATCAACCTGAAAGAGCTTCTTAGTATTAAGTCCTTTTGCTCTTCATTAGTGATGCTAATAGTTCAACATTTTTACTACCTGCTTTGCTTTCTCCAGGCTCCTTAGCAAAGTAAAAGACTTGGCTTTGAAGCGTCACTTTCTCAAAACCCTGAAAGTCAGCAAAAATTTCTGGAGCCCTATTTTTCCCTATTTCATTTGTCATTGGCGGTGACATTTCTCTCCAAGCCTGATCAGTGCATCATGTGCTTTTCTGGTAAAAACTCTTCTGTGACTCCTTCATCAAAGTACTATCCTCCTGTGAGCACTCCACATCACATATCTTATCATCAGCTAATGTGCCTTCAACGTTTTGGGGACTCGCTTCATGTAACAGCTACCCACAAGACTGCACAGGTATTATTTCTAACTGAAAGCTCTGGAAGGATGTCCAAAAGCATCATCTTTAGACAAGCCTTGTAGGAAAGATATTCCTTCTTCACGTACACAGTCTGAACGTCATGTAGCAGGCCGTGCACTCTTGAGCATTACCCAAGGGCCCTGGGGTTCTGGAATGATGTACCAGCAAAGGTTTTGGTTTACAGTTACCAGCTAAAAGCAGGATTAGTTTATCTTTAGATGCATTATGTCCTGGAACTTTTTTCTTATCTTCTGAAATAGATGTAACAGATGGCGTGTTTTCTTTAAAAAAAAAAAAAGCTTAGGTTCAGCAAGATTGGAAATTTGCTCTGTGATAAAAACACCTTCAGGAGTGGCTCTGGTTCACTGGGGGGGATGCTGCCGCCTCACTGAGAACAGAAGTTGCTTCACCTCTCTTCAAAGTGTGTTTACGTGGTTCTTAAATCTCAAACCTTCCAGTCTTGCTTTAAAACGAATTCTTCACCAAATCCTCCCTATGCTCCATCACTCTCCAGCTCTCCTAAGGCATCTAAGCTGCCCACTGTAGCCACATGTGCTCAGTGGCATCGCGCTGACCGGCCGTACACCCTCCATACAAGAATTTCACTGGCTTAAAAAAAAAAAAAAAAAAAAGAATTTCACTGGCTTTATAAGTGTAGCATGCCACACGCAAGAACACCATGAAACTTTGTGGAACCAACACTTTTTGCAAGTTCTATTTTGTCACCCAATGCAAAAAACCATACACAAATAAAGGGGGAACACGTGTTTGGCCAAGATTCTTTTATAGGATCACCTTTCTCAATACCTTATCCCTTTTTTTTTCTTCTTCTAAGAAAGGGAATTTCCTAGGTCTTTTAGACTCACCTACTTTCTTCATAGGTTTTTCCACTTCCATAGCAGACATTTTTACTTAATAAAGCGGAGGAAATGATGTGACCATCCACCACACATCTAAACAGCACAAGCATTGGGCAGTCAGTCAGCTAAGACCGGCACATGCCGTGTGCTCCAGACACTACTTGAGTGATTTTGCTGCAGACTCACAGACTCATTATTTTATTTTTTTATTTTTTTATTTTTTTATTTTTTATTTTTTTGGATAGCCAATATGGTATACCATTTTTTTGCAAAATTGTTACAGCAAATATTCAGATAGTGGGGGTTAAGATGGGGCAGACACCTGTGTTCTTGCTTCTCCCACAACAGACTTTTGAGTTCAAATGGGGGGACCCTCCCTAGGATGAAGGTTTGAGTCTCAGAGAGGTGGCCACCACACCACCACCACAAAGGGCAAGTAGAGGAATTGACCCGAGAGCTCTCGGTCCTGGGTTTAGTGCTTTTACAAGATCTCCACGGCTGAAGTGACACCAGCCTAGAAAAGCATGTGAAATCAGAAATACAGCACAGATGACTTCCAGTCACTTCCAGCCACGTGGATTCGTTTTGGGGGGCGAGAGGAAGCACCGTGTCATAAGAACCACCATACCTACCATCTGTTAAAGCAGTTCTTTGTGCAGTTGATTACTTTAGGATGATTCTCTTAGCTTCCATTCTAGAGGCTGACATTTTCTGGCTCCATTCCCAAACTGAGGGGAAGCAGTGACATCTGTGCCCCTAAGTCCTAAGTTCTCCTGTAAGGAGATTCAGTTCTAGAAAGTAATTAGTTCATAACATTATGCTTGGCAGGGATTAAACCAACATGAATGGGGCATGGTTTTAGGCAGGTTTGCCAGGGTGGAGTTGGTTAGGTTTCTCTTCCTTTTTGAACATAGTCTACAAATCTGAAAAGGCACTGTTCTTTGTGGAATAAAATTTTGCCTTTTTTTACCCTTATTGTTAAAGCATTTTTGTTGTTTTTTAAGTTACTACTTACTTGAATGTGATTTTTAACTTAGTTTTCCCTTTGTTGGGGAGTACATGGGTTAAAAAGAAATGAGGTGTCTTCTCCCCACCACCCACCTTCCATTTACGATTTTACCAACTGAATTGAATTTTTAAAAATCTGATTACAGACTCCAGTAATTAAACCATGGACGTTAACTTCCTTAAAACTGAGCTCCATTTCTAAAATTGAGAGATATTTAAACCCCTCAATTTGGGGCACCTGGGTGGCTTAGTCGGTTAAGCATCCGACTCTTGATTTCAGCTCAGGTTGTGATCTCATGGGTCATGGGGTCGAGCCCCATGTTGGGCTCTGCACTTAGCAGGGAGTCTGCTTGAGTTTCTGCCCCTCGCCCCATTCTTGCTCTCACTGTGTGTGTGTGTGTCTCTCTCGAAAACAAATAAATAAAATCTTTGAAAAATAAAAATAAACCTCCCAATTTATCTTAAATCCTTGCTTTCTTATATAGAACTGAAAAAACTTAGTCTTTCTGCCATTTTGTGAAATACAGGGATGACTTAAGAATACATAATATGAAAACACATCTGTGAAACTGTTAAACTAAGAAGTAGTATTTTTTACTTCAAAGTAATTCACTGTTGAAGTGAAAGGTTGCATTTAAGATTTTTTAGAATCTTTACATTTTCAGAAATAATATTACACAGGTAAATAGTCTTCCTAACTTTTATTTGTTAAAGATTTATTTATTTATTTATTTTAGAGAGAGTGGGGGTTGTTGAGAGAGAATCTCAAGCAGATCCAAATTCCAAGTCTACACTAGGGAAACTGGTGACCTTGGGAGCCTTGCCTCTGAACCTTATTTGCTCACCTGTGAAATGGGGATAATCAGTACCTGCTGAGTGTGTTTTGCAAACTAAATGAAATGACCTATGAAAGGGTCTAGCACATCTCGGGTATACTTTTTTCCCTTTCGGAGAAACCAAAAGTGTAAGCACTGCCATAATTGTTTTCACTAGGAGATGCATAGCCAATTTTTATGCCCTGGTAGGTGACACAGTGGAGAAGGAGGTGCCAGAAGAAGAGTTTGAGGTAAAGTAAAGAGAGCTCTGGAGATGGAGAGAGTTGTAGTAAGCACCTCTACAAAGCAAGCCAGAAACAGCCTGTGTGTGTGTATGTGTGTTTAAATAATGTTTATCGGGTTTTCCTGGTAATAGGAGTAATTCATGAATGCTCTCAAGGCTTTGGGAAGATGCCTTTGGGTGGATCATTTTAGACTTTCAAGTCAGTAACACTGAGGCAAACTTTATGACCTTGCTGTGAAGAGTGGTTGGTCATTGTGTGAGGGTTGGTGAGGACTAGACGTGTGCCCAGGGCCGCACCAGGGGATGAGATGAAGAGGCACGTTGTGGGGGGGGTACCAGGGAGAACTCTTCTGGGAAGCAGAGTTGGTGCCAAGTTGGTGGCTGAATTGCCTGGTCCTTCAGTTAGCATTTCGCTGGTATGATAAAAGAAACTTAATGGAAGGAGTCTTGGGTCATAATTCTGCAAAACTGAGCAACATTGCCATCTATTGGTGTTATCTCAATGCTTAATTTCCTTTATTAGGGGTAAAGCTTATTGGGTGGTACTGTGAATTTTACCAGAGGGAATTTGTGGCCTCCTGAAGTGAAAGAATAGGCTGACTACTGCTGTGATCACCCCCAGGTTGGAGAGCAGCCCCTAAAACAGGGGCTGGGGACCATGAAAGCTTTGTTTGAAAATCAAGGAGTGAAGCACTAAGAGAAAGCATGAACTTGGCATTTCTAACATTAACCATCCTTATTTTATCTGAATTGTTTTATGACATTTATTTCCTTTCCATATTTGAATGTCAATGAAAGCAAAATCTTTATTTTCTCCTTTATCTTCTCTAATGACGGCAAATCGGCGCCCCAGTTGCCACACATCCTAGGTACCATTGGTTGCTTTTAGGTTGCGGGGTGGCCCAGGGAGTTAAGCGCACAGCCTTTGCAGTCAAACCTAGGTCTGATCTCTGGTTTTCCCACTGTGGGACTTTGGGCAAGTCATTTCCTCAGTTTCCCTCTTCATCTGTAAAATAGGCATATTGTTAGTACCTACCTCACAAGGTGGTCTTAAGGATTAAAAGGGAAGAAAGATTAAGAAGTTTATGCAGTGGAGCACTGGGTGTTGTGCACAAACAATGAATCATGGAACACTTCATCTAAAACTAATGTTGTAATGTAAGGGGATTAACATAAGAATAAAAAAATTAAAAAAAAAAAAAAAAAGAAGTTTATGCAGGTGTGGAATCTTTAATGATACTCATTAAATGCAGCTGCTCTGATTATCAATAATTGGTAAACAACTAGACCAGAGAAGTAGAGTCCTAAAATAGTGTGTTAAGAGAATAGGGACAAATTGGAATATTTCCCAAACTCAACACTTTTTTCATCTTTACCCAGTGAAGTCTTTATGACTTCTTGAACACCCCAGAATAGTAGTCATGATTCTGTTTAAAGTGGTATCATATTCTGGGTGGGAAGTTTTGTTTTTCTTAAAAATACCTGAACGTATAGATGCAAACGGTGTGCTATGCATTTTTTTTCCCACTGAAGTTACCACGTGCTGAAACATTACCCAAATACGTTTTTGGAAACGGGCCTTAAGGATCTATAGCAAGTTTTCTAAATATCTTTTTTTTTTTTAATATTTTATATATTTGACAGAGAGAGCCAGAGAGCACAAGAAGAGGGATGGGCAGAGGGAGAGGGAGAAGCAGGCTCTGCACTGAGCAGGGAGCCTGAGTCAGGGCTCGATCCCAAGACCCTGGGATCATGACCTGAACCAAAGGCAGACGCTTAACCATCTGACCCACCCAGGCGCCCCTCTAAATATCTTTATTACGAGTAAATTATTGGTTCCTTGAAGATGGATTTGGTTTTTGGAAATTAAACATTTATTTGGTGCCATAGCTAGGGAGTAACTTTAGGTGTGTTAGTATATCACATTTGGTCAAAAACAAAGTGACTTCTGGAAGCAGTTTCCAGAGAGGAATGCTGAAATGTTTTGCTCCTTGGCTATTTAAAATTCAGTGATCTTTTAGGTATACAAATTCTGATGTGGTTGTTAAAAATCACCCCATTTCTTTATAATTACTCATCCCAGTTATCCCCTTCCTCCCCCTGAAGGTATTAAAGAAGTCGACCTTTCATTGTGTCTTTCCTGAATTCTGCTTTTAAAGTAGACAGGGAAGGGCACCTGGCTGGCTCAGTCAGAAGCACATGCGACTCCTAATCTCAGGGTTGTGAGTTTGAGCCCCATGTTGGGTATAGAGATTACTTTAAATAAATAAAGTTTAAAAATAAATAAATACAGTAGACAGGGGATATACTTTGCCTTGGTCAACTCATGTCAGGTCAAGTAATACGAGAGGGAAACTGACTTGAGGAATTGCCATCTACTTTGCATATAGGCTCAGAAAAGCTAGTTGAGAAGTGGAGCCCATTTCCTAACTTAGATTCGGAAAACCTTGCTTGCTTCCTTGCTCCTCTTTCTTTCTTTCTTTCTTTCTTTCTTTCTTTCTTTCTTTCTTTCTTTCTTTCTTTCTTTCTTTCTTTCTTTTCTTTTACTGACTGTCAAAAGGTTACCATATGCTTTTTAAATAAAAACAGGAGAATTTACTTCATAAATTGTGTCTCGCTCACCTTTCTAAAATCCTCACTTTCTTTTTTTTTTTAAGACTTTATTTATTTGACAGAGAAAGACACCACAAGAGAGGGAACACAAGCAGGGAGAGTGGAAGAGGGAGAAGCAGGCTTCCCGCGGAGCAGGGAGCCCGATGTGGGGCTCGATCCCAGGACCCTGGGATCATGACCTGAGCCGAAGGCAGACGCTTAACGACTGAGCCACCCAGGCGCCCCAAATCCCCACTTTCTGGGTTCACATGGAAAAGTGAATTTGTTCAGCTTTAATTATAGGAATAACTTTCATTGTTCTGCAAATAAAAGATGCTGCCACTTTATGCTGTAACATGGAGCCTCAGTTTAAAAACCGAACCATTATGAGAATAATTTAGTTGTAATGCATACAACTTTTAAAACCCAGGGCAATTTTTATTAATTTCATAAACACTTATACTGCAATAGGTAGAAATATGCTACCAAGAAAGCCTTAACACCTTGTTATTACAGTTGAACACACGTAGAAATCCCTCATACCGACTAACGGTGCTGTCCTTCTGCTCTTAGTGCGCTCAGCACGCAGCGCTCCCCTCAGGAGGGTCTGTCTCTTCATCCGGGTGGTCGGTCACGTAGAAGCCACGCTCTTCTATCACCCGGTACAGTGTGATGTACTTGGAGGCCTTCCTCGTCCTTGGAAGCACATACTTCTCAATGAACTCGTCTTTGCCCAGTTGCTCCTTGCCTTCTGTGGTCAGAATGCAGTTAATGAATGTGAGGGTGTAACTGTAGCAGTTGTGACGGTCTTCTTCATACCTTACAAAACAAGCACGGGGAGAAGGGGAGCCTGAGGTCTCAAAGCGGCTCAGGCTCAGGCCGTGAAGCCGCCGAGGGGCTGGCAGGGCTGAGGCTGGGCTCCCCACGCACTGGGTCTACTGGTCCCCTGGACGACTGAGCTCCCAGAGTGCAGTTCTGAGGGACACCGGGCAGCTCAGGCTATTTCTGCTCGCAACTTAAGTAAGATAGGAGTGGACGCGCCTAGAGGTTCCGAGTGCTGACTTAAGTTGTACAGAAACCGCCAACATGGGGAACTGACATTTTAGAAAGGGAGTTCCATTTCTTTCTTTTTTTTTTTTTTTAAGATTTTATTTATTTATTTGAGAGAGAGCACATGAGAGAGGGGAGGGTCAGAGGGAGAAGCAGACTCCCTGCTGAGCAGGAAGCCCGATGTGGGACTCGATCCAGGGAGGGAGTTCCATTTCTAAGTTTTAGGGTATCCCAGTGTCTATACCTATTTTAAGGGAAGCCTCAGAACAATTAGGTCCACAGGTATGCTATATATCTAAAGTGTTGAGGGAGCAAGAGACTGAGAAATAAATTTCAAAATGGCTAAATCATAAAAAGGAGTGTTAGGTATTTTTTACGTTTTAAACATTTTTTAAAAATTTTAAGGGACTGTAATATGGCTTTTGCTGTACATATTAAATGTTAAGTATGTAAAAATGTCTAATCAAATAACTGGAGTACTAGGTTGTAGTCCTTTCGGTTCTTAAGATACGGTGATTCTGGGGGCGCCTGGGTGGCTCAGTCGTTAAGCGTCTGCCTTCGGCTCAGGTCATGATCCCAGGGTCCTGGGATCGAGCCCCGCGTTGTGCTCCCTGCTCCTTGGGAAGCCTGCTTCTCCCTCTCCTGCTCCCCCTGCTTGTGTTCCCTGTCTCGCTGTGTCTCTCTCTGTCAAATAAATAATTAAAATAAAATTAAAAAAATACGGTGATTCTGTTGTGTAAGTGTATACTGGCCCACCTCTGCGGAAAACCCAAAATCATTCAGCCCCTGCTCACACTTTGTTACAGGCACTACTATCTCGGTACAGGCTCCACACAAAGTAGACACAGCTTGAGAGTCCTATGAGCTGGGGTCACACCTGCATGCGGAACGAGGGCCAGGGAGCTGGAGGTCCCTGCCGGCCTGTACCTCTGGGGCAGCCAGGCCCCCGTGGCGGAGAAGTCGTCCAGGTACTTGTCCCACTGATCCATCAGTCCAAACATGCCAGGCTGCAGTAACGGGATGCTTACACTCTGCTCCCACCCTGCTTCGTCTCGCTGGACGCCATGCGTGGTGTAATTATATACAACTCCTGCAAGCGAAACTGGAGTCACGCGGAGGGGAGACTTAAGGGAAGATGCACCTCTGTGAGAAGAGGTTGTCCGGAAACGGCAGCCACCACCATGGTCACTTCACATGATGTGAAGTTAGCCAGAGCGTACTTTCTGATGACTGTCAGAGAGCAGGAGACCAGGAGAGGCCCTAGGATCCCCTCCAGGGTCAGGCTGGAGAGGCAGCCACCACCTGGAGTCAGGGAGGATCGGGGGTGTTGAGCCCCTGCCTCTCCTGCCCTCTGCACATCATTTCTTTCAGGGAAACCCAGGTCTTGCTCCACCTGCTCTTCAGCTCCGAGAAGTTGCCCCCAGCAGATGGAGACAATAATAGAGCCAGGATAATCCTCTCCAAATATTCTTGGTGAAGTTTTCTATGTACAAGGGGGTCTATCTGGTTTCCTTAAATCAGCACTAAATTTCCACTGAGACAGTGGGTAGTACATTTGACAGCTCATGTGGGTAAATCTGAGTCCAAAAACCCAGTCCTGGGTTTCTGTTCACAGATCAGTTTCTGCTGCCTCGAGCAGTGCACTCACCATTTGTATTGGTTATTCCGACATGAAGATCGGATCTTCCGTCATACTCCCTGAAAGAAACATGAAGAGTTGGTATTTAAAGTAGGAGCGTGATCTTGGCTGGTGCCAGAACTTGCCATCAGTGACCAGGCGAGTGGAAGCACTGTTTCAAAACTGGTTGAGCCAAGAGTACATTTGAGGTAGAAAATACTCCCCTGGCCCCCCACCTGGCTTTTCTAGCCCCCCATTACTATTACTAAAGCCCCCCACATAAAGTGTGCTGGAAGGCCAGCCCTGCTGGAGCATAAAATCAGCTTAACTCCTGGCTCCCCAGCAGAGGGGTGCATCTGGAGGTCAGTTGTTGAATCTTTCCTCCTTGTAGGTGAGGTTACAGCCTGTTCATCAGGCTGACCAGGGAAAGGATCCTGGGTGCATCTCAGTGGACCTCTACCATCAAAACTGAAACAGTGTCTTTTGGTCTTTGTAGCCCATGGCCACACTCACTTTTCCTGGACAGCCCTTGCTTCCTGAAATTACTCTTTACCTGAGACTGTTCATTAAACCTCTGACTCCATATGATAAACCTTCTTGTACAATCCCAAACCATCACTTACTAGCCCTGGGACATTAGCAAGTCACTTTCTCTGATCTCAGTTTCCTCATCTATAAAATGGGAATATCATAAACCTCCAGCAAGCTGGTTGTAAGAATAAAATGCCTGTCGAGTACCTGCCACATACAGGTGTCGAATAAATCAGAGGTAATTGTTAGATGATAAAGCTCCTTCACGAGACTGCAGGTTCCTCATGAAAGCAAGCAGTCCCAGGCTTTAAAATGACCAAGAACACAAACAGCTGCCCCACCTCCAGAGTGATCCTGCAGGTCATCTTGTTGCAGCCACTCTGAGTGTTTTGAGACCCTGTGGGTTCAGAGGCTGAGAATGGAGCTGGGCAAAATAGTACCAGTCCGACTTGAGTGCTGCACTTACAGTGTGATCTACCTTGAGATCACTGCCCCAGCGTGTCACTGCACTTTGTCTCCTGCCTAAATCCCAGCTATTCCTTCCCTCCCCCCATCCTTTGGTGGTTTCTCAGTCCTGCACAGATGTTTACCATGGGAACTGTCGGCCTGTCACTTGAAGTAAAGGGCTAGTGGCACCACAGGAAATGAGACTGACGAGGTCTCTGCCCTCTTGGAGTTTGCTCGCTTCCAGAGAAGACTTTTAGTTTAACAAGCCTTTAATAGTTAACTGCTCTTAAGGGGGAAAAATATAGAATGTTACAAAAGCATGTCATAGTGGCAGGGCCATTCCTCTCCCATACCACACCTTTGTATAAATTAAGAAAAGGTGCCCCTTCCTCCTGCAGATGCAGCTCTGCCCAGAGTGTTTGGCTTGGTAAGTGTGGTGCAGACTGAGTTTCAAGACCCAAAACCACTTTGGCAAGGCGGTTTTGTGCAGTCCACAACCTGCACAACCATATGTGGCAGACCCGAGAGTTTGATGAGAACCTCGGTGAATCCTTTGGGTTATTGTGGGTTCTCTTTTACAAAGTAGGTGAAACTGTCTCAAGGTGAGTTGTGGGAGTCAGTCCTGAGGTTTTGGAAATTAGATGAGAGGGAAAGGAATAGTTTGGAAATTGTCCTTAGAAGGTCTGGTGGGCAAGGGACTACTTAGGTTTCTGCAGATCCTGGTCTTCGGGGATGAGAGGATGCCAAAGCATATAACCTGTTTCAACATCACCACCTCCCTTCTGCTGATGCCAAGCAAGGCTAGGCTCATCAGTATTGCTACCACATTGTAGAATAAATAAATGCTTATTAGGGCCCCACCTGAAAGCCTATCATGTTCTAGAGAGCAGGGCCGTGGCTCCTTCACTGTGACATCCCTAGCGTTTCCCACACACAGCTGCTCAGTAAGGATTTGTTGAATGAACCCATGTTATGGCAAATAAATTCTGAATTTTAATCACTTTATTCAAAAGCTTTTGGGATCCAGCCAGTAGCATGAATGAGGGGATCTTTTTTTTTTTTTTAAGATTTTATTTATTTATTTGAGACAGAGAGAATGAGAGATAGAGAGCATGAGAAGGAGGAGGGTCAGAGGGAGAAGCAGACTCCCCGCCAAGCAGGGAGCCCGATGCGGGACTCGATCCCGGGACTCCAGGATCATGACCTGAGCTGAAGACAGCCGCTTAACCAACTGAGCCACCCAGGCGCCCCTGAATGAGGGGATCTTATGAAACATTTTGGGCTTCATGATTCAGATAAGGGAAATGAAGGTTCTGCCAGTCATATTCAGAACTGAGTATAAGAATAGGATGGAAAGGAGTATGTTGGCTCAACATCGTGACTGGTGCCTGCGCCAGCTTTATCTGCCTTATCACTGAACCTCACCACCCTGCAAGGTCAGCAGGACCCTCAATTTGCAGATGAGGAACAGAGACTGGAGGGTCTGGAGCTGGTCTGAATATGGACAGGAATTGGGGGCTTTGTGGCAGCACAGGCGCGCTGTTCTCTCTGCACCCTGCGGCCTCCAGGAGGGGCAGGGGTGCAGCACTCTGCACACTTTGGTTCATTTCATCCACATAAAGGGGGGAAGGAAATCGATTAAGGAAGTTAGTAAGCAGGGAAGTGAAGACACCACTCCAGCTGTCTTATCCCAAACCAGAGCTCTCGAGGGCACATGGGAGTTGGGAGGGTAGATTTCAAGGAGGCCAGGAGGTCTCAGCATTGGGTCACAATGATGTTCATGACCATGCTCATTCTGTAGTGTCCATGCTCTCATACCTGGCTCATGCTGGGCCGCTTCTAATTCCATTTGTAAACTCCACAGGGACACTAAGGAGGCACAGCCCTTTCTTTTGATTTCCGAAATCTTAAAGTCAGGTGGTATCCACAATTGAGGTAGACCACCTCTGGTCTTCAATTTAATTCATCTCTATTGCAGAAGAGTCTGGATGTGGCCTTTCTTCAGGCTTTGTACATTATTCCTGTTTGTCACAGAAATTACAGCCTAACTCGCAGTAAAGAAATTATTTTGATTAGAGTAGCTGCTGGGTCATTTTCCCAGTTAGCCTCTTAGCACAAAATCTATGAGTAAAAAAAAAGCTCCAAGCTATCAGTTTTCCTCTCTTAAGATTGTATAAGCAGGTTTGACCTTCCCTTATTCTTCATATAGTCTTGCACTAATCACTCTAGGAAAGTACATACACCATCTATCTTTATGAAATGAATAGACCTACATTTTAGGATTTGATGCCAAAACACTGGCAAGATTATCCACTAAACCTCATACTGTATAGTACATGTTAGAAAAAGAAAGTTTTCGGGGCGCCTGGGTAGCTCGATTGGTTAACTGTCCAACTCTTGGTTTCGGCTCAGGTCATGATCTCAGGCTCATGGGATCTGGTTGGACTGCGTCTGTCCCCGAAACCAAACCCGGCTTTGCGTTCAGGCGGGAAGTCTGCTGGAAATTCTCTCTTCCTTTTCTTCTCCCTCTGCCCTTCCACCACCACCACCCCCACCCCCCCACCCCCCGCGCACACTCTCTCTCTCTCTCTCTCTAAAATACATCTTTATAGAAAAAGTTTTAGTGATTACAACACAGAAGGAAAAGTTTACAGAATCACTTAATATAACACTCAAAAAACACTGTACCTAAGGAACGTCCCTTGAGTTGGTCTGAGGAGGAATGAACATTTTTCTTGATGCCCGTTGGTAAATGGATTGGAGATGCTAACAGGTGCTTCCTCCAGCTTCCTTGAGCCCATGACTTGCTGGCAGAGGGGGCAGCTTTGGGGCACACTGAAGCTGTAGATGTATTTCTTACAGTGGCTGAATTTAATTAAAGGCTTTCCAGCCTCTGTATGCTGCATGGCTTTCCTGTCCTGGGCAACCAGTGGCAGTTTCCCAAGACTTCCTTTTCCTCATTACCTGGCTAGCAAACGTACGCCTCCCGAGTAACCCGAACAACAGTGATGTCATTCTGACTGACGGCTTCAGAAGCCAAACCAAGTAGGATTAACCAGTAACCAGACCTCCCCATAAACTGGTGTCTTAAAGAGCTAATTTTCATTTGTGCTCACTTACAAAGTTTCTTTCCAGCCTTGTACGCTTTGCAACGGTCAATACGCAGCTCCTACTCATCTTTTAAAGCCCTACTTTTCTGTGAAACCTTCCTTCGCTTCCTTGAGCGTTCCCTTGCACTGGCAGAAGTGGATTCATATTTCTACTAGCGTTCTGATATTTGATTAGCCATTAGTCTGTGAGCTTCTTGCAGTTAGGGACCCCCATTTATTTCTGTGTTTCTAGAATAGGTGATGTTGTTTTGTTGTTGGATAAATATGTGAAATCCTTGGAGGCTATTTTCTTTTGATGTTTTATATCGTAGAAGTAATCTTGCTCATAAAAAATTAACAGCAGTTAGAAATAAGGATAGTGGTTGCCCTAGGTGGGGACGGGAGGGGTACTGAGTAGGAGAAGGCAGGAGGGAGTTTCTGTGGCCTGGGGCTTCTCTGCTTCATTATCAAGGGGTTGGTTGTAGTAAGTATTCAGTTTGTGAAAATTCATCAAGCTGGACATTTTACTACATGCACTGTATGATTCTTCAAGTTTAAAATAAGTTTGAGAAACTGCAAAAAAAGAAAGAAAGGTAATGTCCCCTGTTCGTCCATAACATTTTTCCACTCACCAAATCCTGTTCCCTGAGAAAACTAATAGTAAGGTAAATGAGTATTGCCCCATAATTTTTTTTTAAATCCCGGTGTTCTGATAACAGTATGCTGTTTTGAAATGTGTGTATTTCTCTCATCTCAGAAATTTAGCTACAGTATTAGGACTATAGGTCCAGCTCATCCTTTCAGATGACTGCATAGGAATCCATAGTTTGATTGCACCACACTTTTTTTTTTTTTTAAGTAGTCTCTACACCCAACATGGAGCTTGAACTCACAACCCCGAGATCAAGAGTCGCATGTGCTTCTGACTGAGCTAGCCAGGGACCCCTGCACCATACTTCATTTAACCAATCTCCTATCGGTGCCTATAGTTCCAGAGAAAAGCAATGGTAAAGGGAAGATCTGTGGGTATCATGGCAGGTATAGTCACTTCAGAAAAGTGTTTCACAGCATGCCTTTAAATAAATTACACTATGCCAGGTGCCTGGGTGGCTCAGTCGTTAAGCGTCTGCCTTCGGCTCAGGTCATGATCCCAGGGTCCTGGGATCGAGCCCCACATCGGGCTCCCTGCACCGTGGGAAGCCTGCTTCTCCCTCTCCCACTCCCTCTGCTTGTGTTCCCTCTCTCGCTGTGTATCTCTCTGTCAAATAAATAAAGAAAATCTTTTTAAAAATAAATAAATAAATAAATTACACTATGCTGAGATGCAGAAAAGTGCATATTAAGTATTAATAATATGAAAATGATCATCAGACTCACAGAACTAGAAAAAACCCTTAGAAATCCTTTCAAGCATCTTCTCTCTTACAGTGAAGGCAGACAGGCTCTATAGCTAGATGCCCAGTTCGGGTGACCAAGGTCTGAGGTGGTTCATTATTAATATAAACCATGCAGCTATTGTTTGATTATTTGAGTGACCCAAGTTATTTTCTTTTTTTTTAACTTTTTAGAATTTTTTAAAAGATTTTATTTATTCATCTGAGAGAGAGAGAGACTGTGAGAGAGAGCACGAGTGGGGAGGAGAAGGAGAAGCAGGCTCCCAGCTGAGCAGGACCCTGGACTAATGACCTGAGCCAAAGGCAGATGCTTAACTGACTGAGCCACCCAGGTGCCCCCCAAATTATTTTCAACTGAGAATATATTCATCTTCATGACACCAGTACCAAGAGGAATTTTTAATCTTATGAAAAGGAACTGAGGCATCATGCCTTGATAAACGTTTTTAATACACTAGCATTCTCCTTTCCAAAAACACAGGCATCTAGGGGCACCTGGCTGGCTCAGTTGGTGGAGCATGTGACCCTTGATCTCAGGGTTGTGAGTTTGAGCCCCACACTGGGTGTACAGATTACTTAAAAATAAACTTAAAAACTCTTAAAAACACAGATATCTTAAATCCTTTTTTACCTTATTTTCTCTGTTTCTAAAAATCTTCTTATGGTAAAAATAAAACATAGATACAGATAATAACACAAAACAAATGTATAGTTTAATGAATTATTTTACTGTGAACCCCTTGTAAGTATCACTCAAGTCCAGAACTAGAACTTTTTCAGCCATCTCAGAGTCCTCTGTCATTCCATCCCCACCCCCAGCTTCTTCCAAAAGTGACCCCCACCCCCACTTTTATAATAATCACTCCTTGTGCTTCATTTTGGTTTCATCATCGAAGTGTGCATCCATAGACACTATGGTTGAGTCTTAGCCATTTAAACATTTTTGTTCTGTATTTTAAGTTTTGGTTCCTTTTCCTTCCTCTGATTTTTCTTATCATGTATCTGTGAAGCATCCAAATCATTGGACCTGTAGCGTCTCCCACAGTCTGTTGCCGACTGCTTACTCAAGGTTTAGTTCAACACACTGCTGGGCCCTCTGTACAGCCTTCAAAGTTCCAGCTGGTTCCAGAGACTGGATCAGACTTAGGTCCTATGCTCTTGGCAAGACCATGGCTGGTAATGTGTTCTCTCATCAGAAGCACATCAAGTCTGGTCTTCACTCTTTTTTTATGTTAGTCCCCATTATTCTCAGTGCTTAGAGATCCATTCATTCACTGGCAGTGGTACAGTGATGATATTCTAAGTCCATCATGTTGTTTTCATACATTAGTTGGAATAACAGTATGAGGAGACACTTCCCCTGAGCTATTACTTACTTACACAGTGGTGCAGGCATACTGGAAGGATTGGATATGTGCCTGATTCTTTATTCACATTTCAAGATAATGAGGACATCTCTGACATACTCAGAAAGTGCCCAGTTGGTTTCATATCTGTTTTACTCTAATGCCGCTTAATGAACTCCTAGGTGTGAACATATTAGCTAGATTTCAACCCACTGTGGTTTTTATTCTTGTCAAAGCTCAGATTGTCCCATTTTGACCTCTTCAATTGGCTCCTGAGTCCTTTTCACATGAACCTACTAGTCACTGTTGATTTCCTTATTATCTAGTCCTTCGAGATGTTCCGGGTTCATCTCAGACCTTTCCCAAACCCAGACCTGGAATCGGCCATTTCTCCAAGAAGCCCTGATTTCTTTTTTTCAGTGGGAAATGGTATTTCAAGAGTACAGTCTGCCCACTAAGGATATTTATTGGTTATTTCTCCACCTTTTCAGTAAGCAGAGCAGGGTAAAAAAAAGTACACACTTGCATGCCCACACATGAAGATAAAACACTTCATGAGTTCATATGGCTATTTCTAATTCAAATTCAGGACTACAGGGTTTTTACGTATGGTCTTCTACATTACATATGCATCTCTTTTCTTCCACACTGAAAATTTTCGTTCTCAACGATACAGGGGATTATGGAATTAGAATGTTCCATAATTAATCATTTGCTTAATCCCACTTTACATATACAGTAGTCTCAGGGTAAGAATAGTAATACCACGCCTCCAATTATGATTACTAAATAGAGTTAAACATTGTGTTTGCATGTACTCTCCTCACCTTCTCTATTTAAAGGGTTGTTCTATATCTTCATTGTCAGAGCATCTACCATTGTAAATAATAATCCCTTCAATCCTCACTGAGGATTAGCTTTACACACAAACTTATATTTAATGGTCACTACTTGTCTTTCCCTCACTCTCTAGTAATTATGGTTGTCTGAAGTTCATCCTCTAGAAAATTCCTTAGGGCTTATAGGAAGAATATTCCCTGAGTTGTTGCATGTTGATAACAATTTCTCTCTGTCCTTTATACTTGGAAGGTCAGTTTTGCTGGATGTAAAGTCCTTGGCTGCCATTTTCTTTAATGTGTCATTCCATTTTCTTCTGGCATAAAGAACTGCTGTCCAGAAGCCTAATGACAAACTAATATTCTTTCTCTCATAAGTCATGTGTTCTTTTTTTTTTTTTAAGATTTTATTTATTTACTTGACAGAGAGAGAGACGGAGGGAGAGTGCACAAGTAGGGGGGAGGGCAGAAAGAGGGAGAAGCAGACTCCCTGCTGAGCAGGAAGCCTGATGCGGGGCTGGATCCCAGGACCCCAGGACCATGAACTGAACCAAAAGCAGACACCCAACTGACTGAGCCACCCAAGCGTCCCCCCATGTGTTTTTTTTGCCAATATGGCCAGATGATTTGTTTCTTTCTTAAGATTCTATTTATTTGAGAGAGTGAGAAAGAGAGCGCAAGTGGGGGGAGGGGCAGAGGGAGAGGCAGAAGCGGGCTCCCTGCGGGGCTCAATCCCAGGACCCTGAGATCATGACCTGAGCCAAAGGCAGAGACACTTAACCTACTGAGCCACCCAGGTGCCCCAATTTTTTCTTTCTTTTTAAGATCAATACTTTTATCACAGTATGTCTTGATGTTGGTTATTTGACATTGATTTACTCAGGTTTGTGATGTGTGCTTTGAATATGTAGTTTCACATCATTTTTATTTCAGGAAATTTTTCATAAATTGTAATTTTGAGTATTTTTTCTGTTTTCTTTGTTCTGACTTTCTTCAAGAAATTCTATTATCTATGTGTTGGATCCTTTGCCTAGCTTTGGTATTTCTCACTTCTTCTAAAAATGGAGGTAAAATATACACATCATAAAACACCTATTTAAAGTGTACAGTTCAGTGATTTGTATCTAATCTAAGTTTAGAACATTTGCATCACCACCAAAAATAAAGCTCCTGCCTATTTGCAGTCATTCTCTACCCCTCACTCCCCACAGCTCCTGGCAACCATTAGTCTGCTTTCTGTC